AAAAGAGCACCAAGAACGAGTTATACGAATGGGAGCAAAACCGGTAGAAGTGATGTACATGTACAGAAAAACAAATTATTACAGTTTGCGAAAAATTTAATGATTTATTGAAGTGATAGAGCTTCACAAAGTGAAAAAGTCAGTAACGCGTTTGTCCACCTCTGGCCCTTATGCAAGCTGTTATTCAGCTTGGCATCGATTGATAGAGGTTGCGGATGTCCTCATGAGGGATATCGTGCCAAATTCTGTCCAACTGGCGGTTTAGATCGTCATTATCCCGAGCTGGTTGGAGGGCCCTGCCCATAAACGTGCTCAATAGGAGAGATATCCGCCGACCATGCTGGCCAAGGTAATGTTCGGCAAGCACTAAGGCAAGCAGTAGCAACATGTGCAGTGTGGAGGGCATTATGTTGTTGAAATGTAAGCCCAGGGTGGCGTGACGTGAAGGGCAACACAACGGGCCTTAGAACTTCGTCGACTTACCGCTGTGTTGTAAGGCTGCGACGGATGACAACCAAAGGGGTCCTACTATGAAAAAAATGGCACCCCAGACCATCACTCCAGTTGTCGGCCTGTCTGCCGAAAGGCAATCACGTTCATCGCTGTCCGGCACGTCTCCAGATTCGCCGTCGCCGGTCATCGTGGCTCAATTCAAAGCGGGACTCATCACTGAAGACTATTCTACTCAAGTCAGTGACATTCCAGTGCGAATGAGCCCGACACCACTGCAAACGGGCTTGACGTTGTCAGAGACAATTACCATTGACAGAGGTCAATGGTAGTCGGAGCAAAGGGCGCCGTGACCTCAGCCCCCTTTCTGTGAGCCGTCTACGAATGGTCCTTGCGGTCACTGAAGCACTAGTTGCACGTACAATCGATGATAACGATGCATCTGGGGCTGTGAGTGCCGCTCTGACGATTGCTTGGTCTTCACGTTCTGTCGTTTCTCTAGGCCTACCGCTTCCTTCTTGAGGCTGTGTGCGGCCATGGTTCACCCATTCCTGCCAACATCGTCTAATAGTGGCATGGATGCTGCTCAAATGTCGATCTATTTGCCGATAAAACCAACCGGCTTCTTTGAGTCCAACTACACGACCTCTATCGAATTCTGACATTGCGCATATCATTCGCGCGCACCTGTATGCAAGGCATAGTTACTGTCTACAAGAGTACACGGAATGAAATTCGTAAAGAATTTATGATCTGGAATCCTAATTTCTCCTCTTAAATATCCAGCCAGTTGCGCAGATCAGATGCGCTGTAGCGACAACCGTTCATTCATTGGTAGTCAAAATGTAAAATTTTGCATTTTCCGTCAAAACCTGTATGCATATCAATTTGTGTCCAATTTGCTTTATATCTTCTCGGTGCATCATGGTGCGCGATTTTTTTTTCTGTCTAAGAGTGTATGTGCATCTAAACAAGGAATGGTTTCGACATTATCTTTTAAAAGTATAGCAGGGAAAGAGAACAAGCAATAAGAATAACTACTCTGGTATTGCTACCCAGCGTCTATTTCGGCAACATTTCAACTTGGGACGTCATGGAAAAGTTCCAGATGGACGACAGACATTTTTAGGTAGAATAATTTCCCGTTTTGGTGACATTTCCTAGCTGCCTCGCTCACCCGATCTTTCATGTCCAGACCTTTTTCACTTTGGGCCACCTGAAGCAAGCAGTTTTCCGAACACGTTGTGCCATCATTCCTGAGTTGAAGGATCGCATCAGAACTTCCGTCGGCAATGTCCCACGGAATAAGTTACGCCGAGTTATGGCAAGCTCCCAACACCGCCTAGATGAATGTTTTATGCAAAGAGGGCATCATTTGACAGGCATCATATTAAAAAAGCAATCCACGTAATGCACAATGACTTACTTACACATTAGTAAATGGCATACCTTTAACTATTAATTGACTTAAGTAGTAATAAATAAACTTACAGCTACTGCCTTATGGTGTATTTTTAATGTCCTATATGAACGTTGCGACCCCTATATTTAGTGTCCCTATGCCGTCAAAGCACTACACATGTACAAACATCCATACTAGCTCCGGGTTTCGAAACCGGTCTTTTCGGTATGAGAGTCGAGTCACTAATACTAGTCCGTCTGGGTGGCAAGTCCAATAAATAATACAGGGATATAAAACCAAAGGTTCATACGAAGAAGGAAAACGTGAATAATAAAATTCAAATGTACAGTAGGTAGGGAAGTAGCAGCGAATTATTCCAGGCTGTTAGCTACAATGACTACCAATAAGTATTTGGACACCTATGCAAATGACGATATCTGCGGTCCTAAGGTACGTCACGGACCCCGCCGGTATATATCGTGTAGGAAACAGCATCGGCTTTAGTCGCATATAAGATGCCTCGCAGTTCGGAGCTTTCTGATTTCGAGAAAGATATAATTATCGGGTATCACAAATGTGGCCGATCCTTAAGGGACTGATTTAGCGATCTGAAGTACCCAAAATCGACAGTGACCTATGTGATTCAGAAGTGGAAGGTGAGTGGTAATTGTTGAAATGTGCTCCGAGTCGGCAGACCAACGAAACTGGGAGATAGAGACCGACGAGTGCTGTCTATAGAAATTCGGAAGAATCGCACCTAACTGATGGCCCTCATCCGCGAGGGGTTTCAACAGGCATCCGAGAGTATTGTTTCAATGAATACCATCCGTAAGGAAGCAAATCTGTTTGATTTTCATGGTCGTGCTGCTGCCCATAAGCCTTTGATCACAAAGTCCAACCGCGCTGCTCGGTTAATGTGGAACAAAGCACATCGAAATTGGACTGTAGATCAGTGGAAACGGGTTCTTTGGATTGACGAGTCAAGGTTCACCCTTTACCGTTCGGATGGCAGGGTCTGGGTCTGGCGTCTACCTGGAGAATGTCTCCTGCCAGAATGCATTGTGCCAACAGTCAACTTCGGCGGAGGTGGAATTATGGTTTGGGGGTGTTTCTCCTGGTATGGGCTGAGACCCTTGGTTCCCATTCATGGTATGCTCAACTCCGATGCCTACTGCACTGTTTTGGATGACAATGTGCTTCCTACGTTGTGGCAGTTTTACGGGTTGGACCCCTGTTACTTTCAGGACGACAATGCCAGTTGTCATGTTTCGACGTTAACCAAGGCTTGGTATGGTGCCAATGGAGTTCATCGAATGGACTGGCCTGCCCAGAGTCCAGACCTGAACCCTATCGAGAACCTCTGGGATGAGTTGCATCGCCGAATTCAGGGGTGCACTACCCGTGCAAAATCGGTGAAGGAACTTCTATGTCTTCTCCAAGCCGAGTGGAAGAAAATACCACTAGCTGTCATACAAAGACTTGTGGAAAGTATGCCCCGGAGGGTCCACGCTGTAATTACCTCTCGTGGAGGCTCTACTAACTATTGATTTTGAATATTTAGGTTTTCTTTTCTATCACAGGTGTCCAAATACTTATTGGTAGTCAGTGTATATTCTTAGCAACGTTAGTATGTGCGTTTTCTGCGGATGAATGCAAATTCATTTTTGCTAGAGTTCCTGAACGATGCTTGTTAGTATGTCAAGTAGGGTCTTTTCAAATGATAGTGTGGTATATATGCAGTCGAAGAGATAGTGATCTGTATTATGGATGCTACCGCAAATGCAGAGGTCATTATTTCAGTGGCCAAAACTATGCAAGTAAGAAATAATTAGACCATGCCCTATTAGTTATTGGGGAAATTGCGAAGAACTGCTAATTAAGTACTTATCTGCATTAGGAAGCCTGTTGTTCAATCTTCTGCCTAAAATGGATATAGTGTCCATGACAGACTAGCCATAATTTATAATTTCATTTATTATTTAATTATTTGTACTTAATTTATTTTTGCTGTTATTGTTTCATACATTTTCTTTACTTAAAATGAAAATATTGGGGAAATTATTTTCTGGGTAGCATGACATATATATCCGTATAGGTCTTTTGAGATTCGGCTTCTATTAATGCGAGTTTTTATTCATTAGCTGTTTCATCTGTGTGGGTTTTTGTCGAATAGCCAGTTATAACGGGATTTTTTTTCGGGGGGGGAGTGAAGGCTTTTGTCCTGTGGCCTTTTATCTTTCGATCTCTGTCTTTATACAGTAACTCCGAAGCCGAGGAATGATAACTGCTGTGCATATTAGATATGGCGTGTGATTTGTTTATTTATTTCAAGTTTTATGTTAGAGCTAAGAGATTGATATCTAAGGAGCTTTTGCAGGCTTAATTTTGCTTGAGTATTTGCATACTTAGTACTAAACACTTCAAATAGCAAATGCATATTATTTCCTAATTTTAAGTTGTACTCTATGAGCAGCAGAATCAAGCTTAAATTATTTTTTTTTTTTACTAGCTAACTGATTTTCAGAATATATGTTGCTATGACTTCTCCCAGCTGACCGACAGTAACATCAGATGAGGTCTCTAAAGTCAGAGCAAGCCTAAGAATTTCGTCTTGGAAAGGGTCAAGATTGCGCCTGCCTTTGGTAAGAGCCTTGAGAACCCCATAGGTGACAGTACGACTTTGCTCATTTCCGCCCACAATTTTTATGCGGGGAGGGCGGGTCCGAAGCTTTCCCACTCCTCTTTCTGTATCACCAACCTATCGAGCGGACTTCTGGCTTGCCGCATATTTCGAGCCCGCCCATAGTGAAACAGTATACATCTATGTCTTCTCCAAGATTCGAATCTGGGACCTTTGGTCAGGCAGTCGGCGTCGCTAACCACTATCCATGTCAGGCGGCTCAGTATATGTACACTTAACCAAATTGCGCAGGCAATAATTCGTCTGAGCAAGATAACTTAGTGTAAATGAAAGCCAACACTTTTAATTTGTAAACACTTTGAAAGCTTTTAATTTCTCTTTATATTTTTCGTTTTTAAATTTCAAGCGATTGTTTTGCGCTCAGTAACCATTTAAATTATTCCATAATTATTAGTGTTGATGTAATTATTATTGTGCTTTCATAAAATTTCTTTCATTTCCCATTAGGTACTCAAGATTTTTAAATATGTTCATAATGAGTTTTTAAATATGATAGAAGAAAAGGAATGGTTAGATGTAGAAACTAAAAAACGAGCCAAAGAAAAGGTTTGTTTATTTTGTCTAATTCTCCTATTGTTGTTGTACTTCTATACGAACTCCTATTTACATAGTCTCTGGCTCCTATCTTTAACGGTCAATATGAATTTCCTAATTGTTTCTATGGTTTTCGTCTTCATCGTTAAATAAGGGCTTACCAGCGGTAGAGCTTCGCTGAACACTGGTAGCTCAAACTAGGATCCGACTTCAGGCGAACTGGCGTATTCACAAAGACGACAGACCGTTTCTTCTACTGTTTGCTCAGATTGGTTAAAAGAGGAAACGTAGGGTTACAATATCATGTACTTGGCGACTTTTGCTTCATCGCCCATACTATTTGTATATCAGCCTCGTGTACCGAAAAGTGTGCGAAATCCAACGGCGAAACCTCAGCTCAACAGTGAAGAAGATGGAAACACTTCTCGGACTTCTAGATCGCCGGTTCTATGTCCGCTCGTAAACTTTTACGAACTCTGCCCTGGACGGATTTGTTTTTATCCTCACTTTATTGAATGACTTTGTCATTATTGGTCTTTTCGCCTTCGGGTGCGGTGTTAAAATTCAACACCTTCATTTTTCTCTACTTTTGTTAATGCTAATTTTTCTTATTTTTATCTACTGGTTTGTACTCTTTGTAGTAGGTACCAGTAGCAAGATTATGATCCAAGATCCCGAAAAGCGTTTCAATAGAAACAGCGCATAATGGAATAAACTATAATTTTTGTTATACTTACTCATAATTTAGGTTAAAAGAATAGGTATCCGACGCCCTTAAATGTTTATTGAATTAAGTGATTGTATTGATTGTAAATATTGATTGTAAACACTTTTTCTTGCAAAACAATTATCGTACTTTTAACAATTTAAATTCAAATACCAATAAACTATTAATAAGATCAGTAGGTTATTTAAAATATATTCCACACTATTCCCCTTAGCTTTCATTCATAAAATAAAAAATTATCGAATGAAGTAAAAGCTGTTTCTCCTCGCTGTACTGAAAGCCTACAAAGTTTGTTTGACGTCAATTACCACGCCTACAGGGCGATAACTCGCCATTCCAAATATGACCGACAACCAGATGTTTCATCCAATGAGAGCAGACAGTTGAAGAAATGGTCTGTAGGCTTTTTTGAATATGCGGCGAACCGGCTTAGCTGCATGGGCGTTTTTGTGCTTTACCACATGTGTAATGTGTATACGAGCCAGTTTCCTTTATAATGTTACCCATGGAGGCACCCCTTCCATCAGGAAGATAGCTGTAGTGTGTTTTGCATTGGTTTCTATAAAATAAACCAAACCGTAAAATAAGACTTATAAATACTAAAAACAACATTATAAACGAACCGTTTGTTTACCAGTTATATAACTTGTGATATAAATTAACAATTATATCCGTACCAATATCCTCTGTTTGAGATTGATTGCGAAAACAATCTAAATGCGCCACTGTAATTTACAAAACAAACGTTCGGTGAACACGATAAGGTACCTTGCCTACATGTACTCGCAACTGAATTTTAACATCATCATTATATTGTCCTCTACAATTCTGTTCTTCCTTAGCTTAAGTTAATTATATAATGTTCAGTTTTGAGCTAAAGATGTCTCTCTACTCAGACATAGTATCCAATGACACTGTTTCGTAGAAAATAGTTAGAAATTCAAACTTAAATGGCTGCATACAAAACAGGAAATTTTTCCTTAATTTCTCTATAAAATTTCTAAATAATTTTCAAGCTACTTTTGACAGAAAATTCAAGATTTCACTGATCTTACAGTACTAGAATATATTTAAAGTAGCGATTTGGAAAAAAATAATGCATCATTAATGGGCGTTTGAAAAGAAAATATTATCGGGGCACAATTGGTACATTAGGACTTTAAACACTCATCAGTGTTTGCCATTCTTAAGTGATTACGGGTCTTAGGACTTTTTCTGTTACAAATTTCTGTTTCTGTTACGTGTCTTAGGACGTTTCCGGTTACAAATTTCTTCTTCTGTTACGGATTTTAGGGCATTTTCTGTTGTGATCGTTTTAAATTAATATATCAAAATTAGTTTACCTTTTTTATAGGTTTAAAAATTGTTTTAAATTTTCTTAACTAACGTTTAACATAATTTCTTCCAACTGGATATAGCTGCATTGCTAAATCAACGCTACGACCTTCACTTTATTTATTCCTTATATTCTTCTAAATAATAAATTTGAATATATATTTCTTCTGTCGCAAGCTACCTGAATTGTTTGACATGTTGAAAGCATGACTTTAATCTATGTGTTTTGACTATATTGCTCCCGGAATTAATTCAGAAACCAAAACAACTTTGAGAAGAAGATATTAATATATGTTATATTTCGTAGGCCTATGCCATGAAATTGTATATTGGAAACCCAAAAGACCCTAGGTCGGTTATTTATGTCTCTGATCTTTACAAAAACGTAAGTATATGCATTGATACCTTTTACCGAATTTTTAAAATAATTCGTTTAGATATATAATTCAGAAATTTTGGGAATATATTTTAATTATCAGATTTAATTATTTGTTACAGGTAGCAAGAATTAATCTAGACAGATCAGCAAAGAGGCGCAGTGGTTTCCAAGGAGAAGAGTACGTGTTGCTCTTAAATATTGTGTAATTATAGTCTCAATGAATCATCCATTTTTATAGAAAAATAAAATTAAAAAATAAATAAGCTAAAAACAACATACCAAAATGATTGTTATTATAATTGAACTATAATCTCACGTTATTGAATTAGCAGAAATTTTTATTTTCTTAGGAATCTAAATTAAATTGTTTATTTGGAGCCTTCAAAAAAAACATCGCGGACGAAAACGTCGCGGAGAAAACAACGCAAGGCGAAAACGTCGTGCTACTAAACATCGTGGGAAAAAACATCGCAAAGAAAAAACATCGCAGTTCTAAAACATCGTGCTACAAAACATCGTCGTCGAAAATAAAGCGGTTCAAAAACTTCGCAATTTAAAAACATCGTCATTGAAAATATCGTGGTAAAAAATAAAGTAACTACAAGTCATCGCATGACGATAACATCGCGGATATGCTTTTTTCCAGCTTTAGTAACTGTAAATGGATATTTGTATAATGATTTGTGAGCTCAAGATGGAAAGAAGGATAATTTTTACTTTCACAATTTTTTTTTTATTAACTAATAAATTTTTGCTGAAAATGTAAGAAGGAAACTTAAGAATAGAAAATTAAATGCAACTTACTGTTTATACTTTTCATGAAAAATTACCAGTAAAAACTTTATAAAAATGATTTATTAATGGCCTTTGTTAGTTAACTATGTCTGTTTAAAATTCTATGAAGTGCTTATAAGTTGCAATAATTTTCTATGCTTAAGTTCCCTTCTTATTTTCTCAGCAAAAATTTATTAGTTAATAAAAAAATGTGAAAGTAAAAATTATCCTTCTTTCCATCTTGTGCTCACAAATCATTATGGGAATATTCATTTACAGTTACTAAAGCCTGCAAGAAGCATGTCTGCGATGCTATCGTCATGCGATGATTTGTAGATACTTTATTTTTTACCCCGATATTTTCGACGACGATGTTTTTAAACTGCAAAGTTTTTGAAGCGCTTTATTTTCGACGACGATGTTTTGTACCACGATGTTTTAGAACTGCGATGTTTTCTCCCACGATGTTTTGTAGCACGACGTTTTCGCCTTGCGTTGTTTTCTCCGCGACATTTTCGTCCGCGATGTTTTTGCCGCGATCTTATCGGCGGACACCAATCTGCCTGTACAGGGAAACATATCACGGGGGCAGAAGATACATGTCTTCGAGCAGCTGCGCCAGAAATCGTTATCATTCACTGTGTCGGAAGACAGTGTTGCTGGAAACTTATTTGGCAACAACCAAGGAAACTGAGTATAAAAATCATTTGTTCGAAAATCAGTGGTGTCTACTGAATCAGAGTTTCGTGTATTAAATAACACATGCAGCAGATTGTTTAGGATTGTTTAGAGTTTTTGTTATTACTTTAACAAACTTAATTTAGGATGCATTATTAATTTCGGATTATAAATTTCGATTGATTGTTTTGTAAATGGTAGAATATTCCTTCCAATTTGATAGAAGTGATTTGTTATTATAAGCTACAGAGCAACGCATTGTTTTACCTCATTTTCTAAATCTGCTAGAACCATTAACTAAGCTTACTAGAATTTCATTTCTTGTTCAAAGGGCTTAATAGTTTGTTGAGAATTCTGAAAACAAAAAAGACTTAAACCTATCGTCTGTTTAATCGGATCGTATTTCCAATTTGTGATTTTTCAGCTTTGGAATTAACCGTAGGTAGCTTGACCATTTGAGGCGAGCCCTGAATTTTGTGTGGGCCATTATGTTGTGAGCTTGAAGATATCAGAACTATTTGCTATTCTTTTTCTACTAGAAGCAAATCTTTTATTGTTACTCTAATTAACAAAATTTTGTTAAAATTAAAATTTTTATATGGAACTTGTAGCAATTTTGTTATTTTATTATTATTCGTAAAATATAATAATTTTTACATTAATTAAATAATTATTTACGTAATTTTATGTTATTTGTATAAATATTCTTACGAATTTCGTATATATGTTAATAATTTTAGTAAAAATATACATTTTTTTTTTTTTTTTTTTTTTTTTTTTTTTTTTTTGTATAGTCTAACTTGAAAATCCAAAGAAGCGAAGCTTTCTCGGAAATACAGGGGCAAGTCTATTTAACATTGAGTGAGTGTCTATATCGCTAAATTTGCGATATACCGCCAAGCTGGTGACGGATTTGGGAAATAATTTTTGTCCCCAAGTTTGCGAGAAATAAACAAAAGTCGCCAAACTTGGCCACCATTTGGCGACAATGGGGTTCGGTCCATGGATAACTGCATTTGGTATTGTGATTGAGTAAATATAATTAATGTAGATATGTAATGGTAACCGTATCCGGCATTCAGAAGTAACATTAACCGTATATGCTTTCTGTAATTTCGAGAAATGGAATATACTAGAGATTTCTTGGCGGCCGGGTGAAAACTATATAAGACCAGAGCGAGCATTTGCTCTCAGTTCCACAAGTTTTCATATATCAGCAGTTCAGTGTTTTTCATATAATTTTCTAGAGTCGGTTTTCTTTCTGCAACATCGCTTTAAAATGTTTTTGATTCGATACTTTTTTTTTCGGAAACAGCATTTACGTAATCTTCAAGATATCTATTAATTTTAGGAGCCATTTCCAAGGCTAACGTCTTATTCTGCATTCCGATAAAATCAAAACAGCAGTAGACGATTATATAAAAATGCCACATCTTTATCTCAAAAAGCTAATGACAAAATTCAAATAGAAAATCGTTTCCATAAAGAGAGAACGATCTTCTATAGAATTCTCAGCACATTTCCCTCGATTAAAAGAAAGTATGCGTCTTCAAGACCAATAGCATAAATTTCATAGATTTAACCTCTAATTTATTGCGTCTCAATGGCTTTTATGCGAGCATTTGTTTTTTCTTTTTCCAGCATTCTGCATCAAGATATCTGCTTTCGATTCATTACAGTGACCTTTTCCACATACAACATCACCCTCAAAAACTAGATAACTTTCAGCATTCTTACTTTAATAAATTTATGAAACGTCCTTCTTTAAATCAGTATTTTAGAAATAAATACGTTTTAGTATTGACCTTTCCGTTTACAGCGAAGCAGCTAAACTGTATTTGAACTATTTTACAAAACATTTGTCTTTCTTAAAGCATCCTGTAAAGAACGTATAGATCAATATTTGATCCATGAAGTTTTTGTAATTATGTTGGGGAAGATCGTATAATCCTTACTTTATTTAGATTGGTTGAAGTACCCACAGCACAGCATCGAAAGCACTTCTTTCGTTTCCACTTAAAATGTGTGGACAGAAATTTGGCAAACCTGGCGATAAACCACGTTATAGGGGGAAATTTTAAAAAAAAAACTGTTGCTTTTCTTGTTCACTAATATGATACCAGCAAAAGAACCTTTCTTGAAGCATTTCCATATAATATATTTATTTAAACTATACAGCGAATTGGTGAGTTGAAAAAGACAAAAATTCTGAATGTAAAATCGGTAATGAACTTCAGGCTATATCACATTCTTAAAATCCCTATATTTTAAATATATCTCTTCTGTATGAACTTAGTAATATAGAAAATTTTAAATATGGTATTGTTTAAAAATAACAAAACATTATAATTTTCTGTTGTTTCCCAGAAACGATGCGTATTTTTATAATCAGTGATATACAGTAATTCCTTAAACATATGTTACCCCTGATACTGCTAGTTAAAGACACACGCAAAGACTTCATGAGAAAAGCTCGTCATATACGGTATGTACTGAGCACCACATGTACAGAAACGGAAATTTACGAAAAAAGAGATTTAAAAACCTGTTGCGGATATCATCGCCTTATTTCTTTATCGTAGTATAGGTTACTGATGTAAATTTTAATTCATATAAAATATTTAGTCCAAGCGTTTATAATTTCAGATTCGTTATTAAAAGACTTTTAAACAACAGAGTATATTTCACCTTTTCTAACGTTTTATTTTCATGGCTTAAGTCATCTTTGCAAAGTACAGATTTATCAACAAGGCAATTTTTGCAACAAAGTCTTCTTAATCTCTTTCTTCACACACTAGAGTGGAACCTGAAGTTATGCTTTCTAAATTAAAGTTTCGAGAGTAATGCAGAAATTAAGAAAAATGCAACGAGGAAGTTAAAAAGCATTCCAACAAATAACCCACAAAAATATTAAGAATTTATATGGATGTACTAGGATAAGTACAGGGAAATTTAAATACAGTAAATCTTCATTTGGCAAAATATATTTTTTCTGTATTATTCATATATAAGAATTTCATTCTAAAACTTGTACTTTTAGTCTATAAACTAGAAATTCTATTACAGTAGAAACGTCATGTTAAAAGCTAAAAAAAAATATTTTCAGACGGAATACCACCATGGAAACATTTAGAGCAAACGCCGTATATTCAGAGAATGAAAATGCTATTGGTATGTTCTTTTTTCCTTCTTTGTGATGCTAAAGGCTTTTCAGCCTCCAAAATGAAAATATTGAAATACTAGTATTTAATAATATCAATGATGAGAAATAAATTAAACGAACGAATCTGAAAACAAGTCTTCTTCTATAAACTTCATTTTAGGACAAAAGTAGAAACGTAAAAGTTTCAAAGATACGTTACACATATACACTTGTAGACATTAAAAGTGCTACATTAGGAATGAAAGCAATAAAAATGATTGAAATTTTAAATAATATGGAGGCCCAAAGTATGCATAAATCAGTATCCCGAGTGTCCGTCTCTCGCAACAAAGGCAGCTGCTGTACAGCTGAACATTGAGAATTGTAGTTACGCGTATTACATGTCCCGCAGCTTTGCATCTTGAATGTGAAAAGAATGCAGTTAATGGCTGGTGGGTGTTGGGATGCCACTCTCTCTGCAACCACTGGCATATTTACAAGTGCACATCAGCGTAGCCACTGAGGGAGGGGTTTTGAAAGTGAACCAATGAGCTGCTATTGCTCTTGTGACGCTAAATCTTCGTGCATGTGAGCGTATGTTGTTTACGTTTTAATTTGCATTTGTTTCGCAGTTATAAATATATGGCGTAATAGTAGAAAATCTCGTAGTGCTTTCGTTTTCTGAGTTTGATTAATTGCTGACATTTCACTTTCGCGATTTTTTATCACGCATTAATATTAGGACTGTTGTTCACTGCATATTATGTGGATTAAGAGAATTCAAGTGTATATTTTTTTTAAATTCAGCTGCGAATGACTGAAAGTGTTACAATGAATCTAGTGTTTTCTTATTTCAGTGCTTGCATTCTTTTGATTTTAAAGTGTAAGATTCAGAATATATATGATCTGATTATATCCATTGTTAACATTAAAAATTATATGTGAATAAATTGAATATACGCGTTGTGAATACGATAAATTCACTCTGTTTGACGAGTATTTCTTGTGTAGACAGTACATTTAAGAGTGAGCAGTTATTAAATGCGAAATTTAACACACTAAATGTATACGAATGCAAATTAGTAAAGTTCACTTTGAATAAAATTCTGCATTGGTTATAGAACATCTTTTTCATATAGACTGCAATAAAAAGTGCTGACTTCTATTTGCATATATAATTGGTGTCAATATTTTTCTCATACGCATAGTTTTATGTAAAGATTGCATTTGGGCTCAGATGTTTATCACATATTTCTTTCTTCATCTTATTTACCACTTATTAAGTAATATTTCACATCGATATTTTTGCGAAGTATCCAACATGTGTTTGTATTTATTTCAACCAGGTAGTGAAATCTTCATAATTTCCTATAATTGATTTAACTTCGCAATGAAAAGTTTCAGAAGCAATCGACGATGCTTTAATTATTTTGTACAGAAAATTGCGTGGCAGAATATTTTCAACCATCTTGCTTAAAGCACGCGAAAGGTCATGTGACAGGACAGAAATATTACTGGATGCTCACTGGTTCATCCTAGAAGCCACTCCCTCGGTGGCTACACAGATGTGCACTTGTGAAATATGCCAACCGTTGACCAAGCAAACGAACTGATCAAGATAGGAGTCAAATATCTTTGTGTTGAGGAAATGTCAAAGAACGTGGACAGCATGAAGTCTCGCAATGTTATATTGGAAGATGGGCCTAAAGTGACATCGAAGTTAGAGCACACTTACGGTCATTCAGATACCAACAATCTAACGGTAGCAAAAAAGCACCGGATATTTGTGCAAGCGACAAACGGGATGTGCACGCGCTGTTCTCCCAAAACATAACTCCAGTTGCCGAAATAGTAAGCCAATGAAGAAAGCGAGCTATTAATGTTCGTTCCCATCAATGTCTCTAGACATGGATAGGATCATTAGGATGCTGTAAGTAAAAGCGAGATTCATCAAAGAAGGTAATGCCACCCCAATGGAGCAACCATGAGAGTCGCTGATTACTTCATTGTAGGCACTGTGACTTGTGGCAAAACGCCAAGGGAGCACTGGGGCAATAAGCGCCTTGTCGACAATCCGTGACAACATGGCATCCCCCAATATTTGCGGATATTTTGTGCTATGCAACAAACATGCGTAGTTTCCTGACCTAGGACCATGATGCGGCTGTACGATTTGTAAAAACAAGTAAATAACATTTACCATATCGGAAATTGATGACTAAGAACACGTAGTTTTGTGTGGCCTTTCTGGGTCTATCGAACTGTATTGAACGGTTCTAATAAGTTGAGTTCTAACCCAGTTGAGTTCTTGTGGAGAGTTGTCCTGAGTTCTTGTCATAAGTTGATTTCATATTCAGAGCGAGCAGCAATCGGGCGCTACGGTAATTTTTCAGCTTAGTAGGATGGAATTCTCATGTGATCGAATTGTAACACGTGTTCGTATGAGTTCGTTCTTCTTAAGAAATTCCAACAATAAAAACAATCAATAAAACGCGATTTCCGAATAACAAAATTGACATGTTAATCTAAACTTTTATTCTCTTTCCAAATATCATTATTATAGCGTGTAATGTGTGGATATCGAGAAACACTAAACATCTGCATATCCCATTCGACCTTTCATGCAAGTTTCAGGTATATGCTTCATTCCTGATGCAGCAGTTTTAATGACTAGCAGTTAATATATATTTAGTAAGACCTATAGAAAAACAATAACACGAAAGCATAAAAGAAAGCAATGTTATAAAAACCAATTAAAATTTTAATGTGCATAAATCCGCAACAATTTAAAGTAATTTATATTAGTTTCATAGTGTTACTGATGGGAAGTCTTAAATAACGTGAATCACCTTCAACTGGAGCAAAGAACCACCTTCAACTGTATTATAAAACTACGTTTAATAACCAGGAAGAAAAACGTAATGGTGCGTAAATGGAATAATGTAAAAGTTCTTGAAAAACTGGTAAACAATTATAAAACATTTGTCCGCCGCCAAAAGTTCATGTAAAAAGCCAAATATTCCGCCTTTATCGATTTCAGGAAAAACGCGAAATAATTTTGAAACATCCACATAGTTTCCCCATAGTTTAGAATCCAAAAGACAGAATAATTAAAAATTAAAAAAGGCAACAAAAACATAATACTGCATGCATCTTATCACGAGACACGATATGTATAACTTCTTAAAATGTGTATCAATCTGTACCATCACACTGGAGAAAAACACATTTACTAAAACGTGTAGATGGAAAAAGACCAAAGTACGTTTTTTTTTACTTCAAAGCGTTTTGACGAGTCTAATCCTGCGTTGTACAAGAAGGATTAAAAGACATGTAAAAATGTATAAAATGTCAAAAGCTGTATCTATTACTCTATGAAGTCTAAAAATGAGCCACTAAAATCATGCAAATATATGGGTTTTTAATATGGTTTTTAATAGTAATAATAATTCGTACGCAGCTGCTTACGAATGTTCACTGGCAGATTGCTTTAATTTTTACAGTTACATGATGCATATTGGTAAAATTGAATGTGTCGGACAGATTCAGAAATGAATGGGCACTAGATTGCGAAAGCAAGAAATGAACTGGAAGAAACTTAGTAACAGTAAAACTCAGTGAAAATGATCGCCTTATGGATGATAATATAACCCAATTTGCAATTTATTATGGAAATGCTAATAGAAAACATTGCAATTCTGTAAGAGATGTGCAAAAGGCAGTGTGGGGAATATTTTACCACAAAAGTCCAACCGACGTGGAACCTACCCACAATTTTTGCCCAACAGGGGAGGATTCGTAGTGTACATATCAAAGAGCGAGTGCGAGTGAAAATCTGAAATCGTAACAAACATAAAAATTCAATTCCACCACCTTGTAATGGATGCTACCAAAGATGTATTTAAAGATCTTAGCGTGCGATTATTACTAAAAGAGTGTTTAGGAAGACATGCAAAGAATCCAAATAAATTGTTAAATGCTTTGATTTGGAAATTGTGTCCTAAAAATTCCGGGTGTGGTTATAATAGTGTTAAGACAGCAGTGAATGAGGCAGTTATTATATACAACGATGGCCAAGCTGGGCGATTACATACTATGAATGTCAAGTTTGCAGCAAACACTGATCACCGTCATATTCAGTCAGCCGAAATAAAGGCAGAGACATCTACATGCAAAGAATGCATGCATACAATAGATGCTCGCAGAACAAGAAAAAGATCCACACTTGTTGCAGTAACAATTATTTAAGAACAGAAGGGTATGGTGTTGCAGCTGAGCAGTTTTAAAGTGTTTTAGTATTATTTGATATATTAAAAATTTTGAAACTTTAAACTTTAAAAACTATTTTTTTCAAAATTGTGATTTTCATATTTGCACGCACTTTTTAAAACATCTCTCATAGCTATTGATTTGAAAATTTCAGGGTAAGTACATGATGATATTGCTGAAAAAATGCACCTACCCTTTCCGTTGAAAAATTACTTTTTAAGTATTTATATAATTTTACTTCAAGAATTTTTAATGCTTTTCTGTTTTCTAAGATCTTATTGTAGTGTTAATATTCTTTGATATTTAAAATTTAAACAGGAGAAGAATCATACCTAATGATATTTCATTACAAAATTATAAAAATTTATTACTGTAACTAAATTTGTATTACTGTCAGTTTGCGCGTAGTGCTGCATTACAAATTTTAAATTTTCGGAAAATACAGTTATCTTTTCCTTTATAAAACAAATGCTTATACACTATTAAGTAAAGTAAATCAAGAAATGTAATCATCTATGTATAGAGATGACACAATGAAAATTTCATATATGTATGACAGAAAGAATTTGACTTATTAAAACTCGAAAATCAGCTAAAATTCTCACTTTTCGTGTTGCGCGAAAGTGATGACTCCCCTTAAAGAAGGCGGCCTAGCCGTATCTTCTGATGTATTAATAAGAAATTCTGATGCGGATGGTTTCTGTAGATGCATCGAAGCTCACTCATATTGCATATTCACCATTCCTTTGTACACAGGACTCATCATGAGAATTTTTTCGGACTATGGATTAGTCAAAACGCTTTAGAAAAGATGTAATTACTTGTATCCGGCTTGATACCATATGTATTTATGTCTAAAATTCAACGGGAAAAAGCAACTGTTTCAGAGAAAGAAAACTCTTTCGGAAATATTCCAATTTTTAACTATTACTTTTTCCTGAGACCTAGGACATATATGTCCATCGCGTTCACTACATTAAATAATGTTCAAAGAAAATTAGTTCTCTATAGAAATTTAAAATTTGATACTTAATTTAAAGCAACGAATGGCAAACACTGTCAATTTGTTCATCTGTTGCTTGCTGATTGAATTCTTAACTAAATGGCTTCAATGCATAAGAAATTAGTCTCTGTAGCCCACGTGAAACGGTTAATGTAAGTGAATCGTATGAGATTTTATTTCTAGTGTCTGGGTACATTCCTTATATACAGCATTTGTTTTACAGATATGCCCGTAGCATATTTACAGAATCCCAATTTCAACAAGGATCGACCACAGTAAGTTATTAATATACACCACATGTACTTTTTAAATTTTAAATTCCACAGCAACGAGTTTATTTTTATTATTTTACTCATAAAATTTCTAAAGTAAGATGATTGATAAAACGATGTATATTAATTCATATACCTGTTTCAGATATCTGAATTTTGCAGCCATGGGTTATATCATTGGCCACGAGATTTCGCATGCATTTGATACAGAAGGTGAAGTAGTTATTTATTTAAATTATAATAGAATGTATTGACGGAAGTATATTAAATCATGCACACCAAAAATTTAAAGAAATAAATTGTATTACGTTAAACAATCTAAGATAATAATAATAACAGTAGCAACGTAATGATATATTACGAGGAAACTATACATCCTATTTCATAAAAAGTTGCTGCAGTGGGAAGTTTCTTAAATTTTACCCTAAACGTGTACTTCTGGTAACGAAGTTTAATAAAATCAGGTGTATAAATATATGAAAGTAGTTTTCTCTTTACGGTGTGTTGGTTTTATACGCATGAAAACTAACTTTTTATGGGGTTTCTGGAGGTCAAAAATGCTTATTAATAAATGATAAAAACATTCTTACGCTAAATTAGAAACGTACATTGTTTTTACGTATTATAACCAAAACTAACATAAAGAAAGACTCACTTGGACTTTTTAAATAGTTTTAATTAACAAAACACTATTAAGATAAAACATTACAATTAAGGGCTTTATAATTACACATTTAAGTTACAAAGTAAATCTTGGGGAACAGCATCTCGGGGCAACAGCATGCTTAGTTCATGACTCCCGTACATCGACTGAAGGCTGGTGTTTATTCCGGCGACCAGTAGATGGCGCTCGTTGAGCCGTGGGGTTACAGACTCCCCCTCTGGCTCGTACGACGTCTCGGCGAAGAGCCAGAAATATGTTGGTTTGGTCTGCAAATACCGGGTGGCCATAAGTAAACTGACAGTGTTCACAGTGCTCTGTAGCGCGATCTATTTGCGAGAATGATGCCACATTTTGTAGGAAGATTAAACAAGACGGGGACCAAGGATTCCGCGAAAAAACAAGTTAGTTCCAAAAGTCACCGCTAGGGGAATATTTGGCGCTGTGTAATAGAAAATAGAGTGTTAACAAATGCAAATTAATACGGAATAAAATTACCTTTTATTATGCACATTTTCTGATTTACTTCAAGTGCAATATGGCAACACTTTTAAAAAAGCGTAAAATCTACATAAACACCGTTAAAGTCTCGTGATCTGCAATATCACGCTGAATAGAAGAAGTTCTTTATTCAAATTTCACGTTACATCCATTCGCACAGGGCCAGCTGCTTGGGTTTTAAAAGGCAATGTGTTACATTTCGAATCAATCGGATTGAAAGTTTATGTGCAATGTCTCCTTCTTTAGTCGAGCGTGCGTTACTAGTCAAATTCTTTTACCTCAACCAGTGCAACGCGTCAGCCGCTCTTCGTGCTATTAGAACGCACAAAAAAATGAGTAAAGGTAACGGTCCTGTGTCAGTTAATGGGCTAAAAGCAATGGTTGCGACGTTTGAGAAAGCAGGTTCTCTGAAGGTTCAGTCAGGCAGAGCACGAAAACCTGTACCACAGGATACAATCGAAGCAGTTGCCACGGCGATTGTCGACAGAGGACCAGACAAAATTGTTGCCACCTCTAGCGCTCGTGGAGTAGCTCGGAATATGGATATGCCTTACAGTACGGTTATTGTTGTTGTGGGCGCAGCCCCGACCCCCCTAGCCGATTCATATCAGCCATAAGGCCACAAAGGGGAAGGCCCGTCTAACACAAAACGAGGCAGCCACCGAGCCAGCTGTGCCCCAAAAAGAAACACACAATTCTTAATCTTAAAAAAAACAGACAATTCTTAATTTTTAAAGCTATAAAATATCAAATGCTCCCGCGAAACCAGGCCCGGGCCCAGAGCAACAAAAAAGGTAGAAAAATGAAACATAACAAACCAAAAAAACTGGTTCAAATGGTTGCAAGCCTTTTAAAAACTCATAACATCCAATTTTAATTCTCCTAACTGCCAATGCCCACAATACTTTTATTTTTATTTATCACAGTCATAACATCTTATGAAAATTTCAATAATTTATCATATTTCATTTGTGTTACATCTAATCCTATTATTCCATATTTTGCCCTCACCCCCCCTGGGTAAGAGTACATATCTCAACGAAATGTTCCGCATCTCCAATAAGATCACATTTGAGGCATCTATCGTTGCCCTGGAGGTGGAATCTCTTTAAATATTGTGGAAATCTTCCATGACCTGTGATAAGTTGATTCACATCTATATCTGTATATGTTTTCATTTTTCTATTTATTTTAAGATTTTTTAAATAAGACTTTCGTCTTGTTGAATTTTCCCACATTTGATTCCATTGTTTATAATAGTAGTCTTTCATTTTTATAATCATTTTCCTTCTTCCCGGATTTATAATATTGTAATCTAAACCATCCCCCAGGGCAGCCTCTTTAGCCAGTGTATCCGCCCTCTCATTACCTAGGTGACCAATATGAGCTTTATCCAATGTAATTTTATATAATGTCTCTCACTGGCCTTGCGATATAATGACTTTATTTCTTCTATCAAATTACTTTTTGGCTCCGTACTGGAGAGCACCGTTAAGACAGAATGTGCATCCGAATAAATATGTATATAATGTCTCTTTGTTAAATTTTTATCTACCCAGATCAACGATTCTTTTATAGCAGCTACTACTTCAGCCTGGTAAACAGAATTAGTATCATTCCTTTTCAGTTTTAAAGAATCTATTTCTAAGGCACGAAAGTAAACAGTACAAGCTGCACCGACGCCCCCCTCAAACCCAGAGCCATCTGTATAAATTTCTATTTAACCCATATTTGGTTCTTCACAATCAAAACCAACACCAAACACATTTCTCGGGTTAATATCAATAAAAATTGGATATTTAATATAATCTGTATAAATTTTAAAATCATCATATACATTAAAATCTTTTTGGCCATTGCTCAATAAAAATTCATCATAGTAATATTGATAAAAATTAGAGAGAGGGGGCACACCGGTTATAATGCATAGAACTTCCGTCGAGATAGTCCGAAAAGCCCTTGTAATAGCTAGTAGCCAGCATCTCTGCGAAGAGTTCAATTTCGTTCTAAGTCTTATTAATTCCCTCGCCCGGAGACCCCATGCACCAATACCATACGTATTCTTGGGTAAAATAACGTTCATATATATTTCTTTCAATATTTTACTTTTACTGATCAAAGTATTTGCTGTGAAGGTATTTATATAATATGTGAGAATTTTTTCAATATTTCTCTGTATTTCTTTAAAATGCGAAATAAAATTCATTTTTCTATCTAGTACTATTCCTAAATATTTAATTTCTTCTTTAAATTTTACATTTCTACCTTTGAATTTTAATCTAGGAGGTCTTATTTGCACACCTCCTCTTGGAAATAAAATCGCATTTGTCTTGTCTGGATTTGTATTCTTTTACTCCAATTGACAAAAAGTTCCTCCACCAAAAAAAATCTTTTTTCTATCTTTTCTAATGATTGATCATAAACAATTACAAGAATATCATCAGCAAAGCCAATAATTTCGGTATTAGGTAAATCAACAAGTATATGATTAATCATGAGGCTCCAGAACAGGGCAGCACTGCACGAGCCCTGAGGACAACCTTTTTTAATTGTATATTCAAGTTGGAATTTCCCATTTTCTTCTTGGAAAAACGATAACTCGGTTTCTCGAATAATCCTTAATCAAATAAAACATTTGGCTTGTGATTCCAGTATCTTTTAGAGTGGAAAGCAGTGACGACCATATGATGGAGTCAAACGCTCCCTGCATATCAAAAGAGATAAGTGCAACATGATATTGTGTTCTTTTTTCCCTCACCATTTGCATAGTGTGGTACAAAGCTATATCCGTGGATTTTTCCTTTCGGAAGCCATATTGTTTAGTACTAATAACCTTCTTCAGTTCCAACATATAATTTATCCGATTAGTAATTAATTTATCTAATATCTTGGCAATGACTTTCAACAAACATATTGGTCGATATTTATCTTCGGATTTTAGAATGAGTACAATCCTCCCGACTTTCCAACAGTCAGGGAAAACAAACTGCAAACACTTATTGTATAAAATGATGAAGAACGAGGGATCAAATTCAAATACATTTTTAACAATCACCGTATTAATATTATCCCCAAACCTGGGGCAGAACCCGCCCGCATAGAATTTACAACATTAAATATTTCTTCATAAGTAAAATCTTCCTCTACTATGTTATCATCTTCCATATTAACATCCTCTTCCTAAACATTTATTTCATTAGACTCTAATTTCAATGCGTTCTTGATAATATCATCATAATAATCCTCAATTTTAGTATATCGATTATTATTATCTTTATTCAATGTAATACAACGTCTAGTTGTATTAGTAGCAATTTTGTAAAACCTATCATAATATACTCTACTCTCAATAAATTTATTCTCTCTATACTTCCTTTTTGTTTTCTTAATCAATTTCTTATATAAGGCCAATCTTCTTTTATATGCAATTTTTTGTTGTAATCGTACTTCATCTATTATGTTCCTTACTTGAAAGCTCTTCCTCAAAGCTCTCAGAACTCTAATCTGTATATTCAATTTATCAGTCCACCAGGTAGTATTTTTTCCCAAATTTACATCCTTTTTAATCATTAAATCATTAAATATCCCGGCTTATTTTTCAGAATAATGATAAATATTCTGCAGTTCTATTAGATAAATATTCTTAATATGTGATACGTTTGAGGACGTCAAGCACTTTGTCGGCGAATGTGCGCTTACCCGGAGTGCAAGAGAGAAATATAGAAAGAATTTGAAGGAAGATTTTAAAAAGAACTGTTCAAATTTGAAAGATTTTGCAGAGACAATAATGGAGATTATAAATACGACTAAAGATAGAATTGGAATTCGGCACGGAGACTCAGATTTTGGACTTTATATGTTTTTCTTATATTTTTTTTCCTGGCAGTCTCATTTTTTATTATACGTCGGGCTTGTGCCGGTTAGGAGGATCGGGGCTGTGTCCTCATAATGATAATGATAATGTGTTTAATGTATACTAGAGAATTTCTGTTGCACATAAAGGAAAGAGCTACATTGAAAGACCCCTTTAAAGAAAAAGAATGCATATTTATAAAAGAATTTTCCGACCTGTATATTCATACTTCACCTGTATGGAGCACCATAAATAGTAGAAAACAAAATTAATTAAACTTTCTACAAATTCAAATTTTCTGCCTTAAGACTGCTTCTTAATTATTAAAGGGCACAGTGCTCGCTATTTTAAACGTAATAAAATGCTCTATAAGTAACTCAACACCAAATCCTTAAAAATGAAATTTCTTCAACAGAATAACTATTTCTGCAATACAGCTGCAAAAAAGTATTATGTAAAGTACACCTGTTAAATTTTCTACAAGACAGACAGAAAGACAACTACAGCCTGTACCATACGATACGTATTTATTAATTATTAGATAAACTACTGATAGAGTGCCTTCTATTTGTTTCATTATTTTTAGTTATGGGTATCGTTGCAGTCAGCTGAGTTGTTAGAGCGTTGGAAAACAAAAGTAAAAATCGAGAATTCCGATCAATGATTTTTCTATCTCTGCAATTTTAGGCTCATCACCTGCATTTCTTATTGGTTTAAACGTGATTTCGTTATTTAATCATTAATCATTTTATTTCTATTTCATCTATTACTATTATAGTTTTCAATTCCACTAATCCATTGTGTGTTCATTTCTCTGCACTTCCTTCATAAATTACATCTTTATTTTTTCTTCGTAATATATTTAATTCTGTAAATAAACTATCAAACGTTTGATTCTAATCTTAAAAGCGAAAAGTGAAAAATGTACACCAATAATAAAATTATCTACATATTAATATGGCTTTTCTCCTTAAAGGCTGAATGCAATGATTGTTAAAACGTGTTTAAAGATCTTATTAAAAATTCTTTCAGCCAGTTAGTTTATAAAAAGTAAATAAATAAGTATTTGAAAATATAAAATTTCGATATTTTGTAAACAAAAACCATTTTTATTGTTTTAAATTTCTTTCCAAATTCGTAAAGAAGAGTATTTTTTTTCTTTTTATTAAGGGACAAAATGCAATACATAATAAAAATATGGTAAGAACTTTAGAAAGAAAAACGTTGAACAGTCAGATACTAGTTTCCGAGAGAGAAATTGAATTTCTGGTATTAGCTACGGCTGCAAAAGTTTAAAAATTATTTTCTAATAAGGCGTTCACTTTTTCTCAATATATGAATCAATTCACAAAATGAAATGATATCTCTAAATGCCAGATGCTTTACATAAGTTTATTAAAATAATTTTGCACAACAGAGACGCTGTAAGCGGGGTACACATTACCTACTACTTACAGTCTTTACAGTCTAGCTTTAGGTTGCTTTGTTTCAGTTTATATGCGCACTCTTGCGTCAGTTTTAATGCCGATAAATTTACAGGTCGCTATTATGATAAACATGGTAATATCTTCGACTGGTTCGGAAAAAAAGCTGCCGAAAAGTTTGAAGAGAAGGTGAAATGTATTATAGAACAGTATGATAACTATACTGATATGTACGGGAGGAAGGTAAGCTAGATTCATAGCTGTTTTTCTTCTTATGCACATGTGTGTATGTGGGTGTGCTTGTTTATATATAAATATGCACATATTCTGACGCTTATTAAACAACTCATTAGTTAATAAAATCAACAGCTATTACATTTAAATTTCAAAATCCAAAGCAAATATATACTAATCATTAATAGAAAAACTGCCGTTTAGTAAGCTCATCTTCGCCGCTTATTATATCAGACCAGCAAAGGGATAATTTTTCAGTGTCTCAATATCCCTCTGGTACCCATCAAAGCTGTTTTATAGTTTATCCATTTAACTTATTTAGGATTTTAGCTTATTTGTCATTCAGATATAAAGCGTTTGATAAAAAAAAGAGTTTAGCTGAAATATCCATGAGTGCAGTTCTACCACCTCTGTTAGACACTGTTTCCAAAGCTCTTTCATCTAAATGAGGAGGAGAGGAAAAAATTTACTTAAGTTAGGAAGAGCAATTCTCTAAAGATATAGTAAATTAATGAAATTTCATCTTCAACACCAGCTAGAGATTGGAAATGCAGCCTTCGCATATTATCATTTAAGTTTACCACATTGAACATTCTCCCGTTGGAATACCATATTATGTTCATAGAGATCTCATGAAATACTGCTGGCGTTATCTTTCGTTATGAATCTTTGAACAGAAAACGAATGATTTCTGAAGGCTGAACTTTAAACAAGTAATGATGGATAATTATCGTAACCATGAAGTGGACGATCGATTGGACAGATATATATAAGTGTAGTCTCTCTGTTGCTCTTTCGGTTATACTGTACGAGTTTTTAGATTGAAATTTATTGGAGTAAAATTCTTTTTTAATTTGTTGTTTGAACAAATTGAAACAAGTAGAAAATCTTTAAGAGGAAGGATTTAAGGCTTAACAGAGGACAGTGAGTGAGTGATTCTGGCGCAAAAACCAGAGATGATTATAACGCGCCAAACAAAAGATGAGATGATTACAATTGATGACATTAAAATTCAATAAATAAAAACAAGTAGATAAATGTACCAAATCCAGAGGATGAAGTCATATAAACACAAGTTAAAAGCACATATTAAAATTCAAGATACAGTCTTCAAAACAAATTACATTTGGTAATAAAAGCCAATCTCTTTTAAATAATAAAATAAATTAGAATTGACCTCTCTTCCGATTAAACGGTCGAGAGGTAAGTCACAGCCATTAAAATATTTCTGGCGAAGACTATTAAAACATGGACACTCAATTAAAATATGACGAACAGATAAACAAACATTACAATTGAAACAAACAGGCTCATTTTCAGCTTTGAGAAGATAGTTATGTGTGACTCTGGTGTGACCAATTCTGAGTCGAGTCAAAAGAACTTCTTCTTTACGATTTCCAGCAAAATCCCAATGCTCAATTCTAGGCTTGACGTTTCTCAACGTGTTGTGATGCTGAACATCCCAAATTTGCTGCCATTTTTTTCGTATCTTTCCCTTGATGACACAAGCAGATGTCTCTAAAAGGGATAAGGCGACTGGACAGTTCAACAGCAGATTTTGCCGCGATGTCTGCAAGCTCGTTTCCCTTTATTCCGCATGCCCGGGAACCCAGCAGTACAGGATTTCATATCCTCGTATCGTTAAATTTCTATGAATTTTGAGAACATCCACTACCACAGGATTCTGAATGTTCGGAAAAGCTTCCAAGGATTTAAGAGCACTATCGAGTCTGTATAAACTATGAACTTTTTGTGGCAGAGCTTTGAGATGTAAAAAAAGACCATAATATATTGCAGATAGTTTCAGATGTTAGGACAGAGAAAGCATGGTGCAGGCATATGCTCTCAATGTAATCTTCAAATACAAAGCCATCCCGACATGATCATTTGACTTTGATCCATCTGTGTATATCGGATAATGATAACTGCTATATATTTGTGCCTGTGCTCAGCGAAAATTTGTCTGTAAACGATCTCGTTAGTGCTCGCCTTTACGTGATGTTTAAAAACATCAAGAAGCTGATCCGTGAATTTTCCCAAGGTGGTGGAATTTCAAAATTCTCTGTACTGCTTGGGGGGTGCATATCAGAGAGGGAGAGTTCCTCAATGACAGGGCGAACTCTTAAAGGGAAAGTAGAACCACAGGATGGACGTGTTTCAAATAATGTGTTACACTCATTATCAAGTAAGCACAGCTTATTGGGATGTTCAGGTTGAGATAGAGTATTAAAATATTGCAAAAGGGACAATTGCTCACGCCTCAGATAAAGTGATGGTTCGTTACAGTCAACATACAGGCTCCGGACAGGAGAAGTCCTGAGAGCTCCTGAACAGATCCGTAGAGCTTGATGATGAACCGGATCCAGTTTTAACAATATTGATGACCGGGCAGATCCGTAAACAACTGAGCCATAGTCCAGTCTAGAGCGAATCAGAGCTCTGTAATGCGAAGCATGGAGCAACGCTCTGCACCCCAGGAGGTGTTCGCCAAGACTTTTAAAATATTTAAAACTTTGGTACACTTTTTTCTCAAGTTTAAGACATGAGGAAGGAAAGTCAATTTTCGGGTCGAACATCACCCCTAAAAATTTTACTTCAGGTGCAACTGGAATTACAGACCCATTGAGGTATAATTCAGGCTCAGGATGGAGACCTCGCTTTTTACAAAAATGCACGCACACAGTCTTCTGTTTTGAAAACGTAAATCCTTGTCTTTTTGCCCATTCCTGGATCCTGTTCAAAGCGATCTGGAGCTGCCTCTCTACATGTCTCATATCCGCACCCCGACAGCTAATTTGTAGATCATCAACATATAAAGATCCTGAAATGGTGGGAGGAAGTTGTTTTAATACAGAATTTATTTTTAGGCTGAACAGAGTTACACTAAGCACACAGCCTTGAGGCACACCCTCTTCCTGTTCAAAAACATCTGAAAAAACAGAGCCAATCCTTACTTGAAAAGTCCTAGTATTCAAGAATTTCTGAATGAAAATTGGTAGGTTGCCGCGCAAGCCACTCTCGTGAAGATCCCGAAGTATACCGTATCTCCATGCCTTATCATAAGCTTTCTCAATATCGAAGAAATACCGAGACAAGGTGACTTCTTCTTACAAAAGCTTTTCGAATGGATGTCTCTAAGAGGAGCATATTATCTACGGTTAGTTCCTCCCTTTCGAAAACCACTTTGATAAGGCGATATAATATTATTCTTTTCCAAGAAGTAGACTAGGCGGCTGTTTACCATCTTTTCAAACAGTTTGCATAGGCAACTCGTAAGGGCAATTGGCCGATAGTTCGAGAAGGATTCCTTGGATCTTTCCCTGGCTTGGCGCAATAGGAATTACAACAGCTCTCCTTCCATGCACTGGGGAAAAGTACGCTCCTTCCACACTCTATTGTAAAGTGTGAGAAGGGCACTCAGTGACTTATAGGACAGATGCTTTAGCATTCGTAATTCACGCCATCGAGACCCGGAGACGACCTATGTGTCTGTAACAAAGCTCTCTTTAATTCACTAGCATAGTAAATCTCTATTATAAGGCTCAAATTTGGAAGAGTTGAAAGCGATGGGATTTTTCTCAGAGCGTTGCTTGATAGAAAGAAATGCAGGTGAGTAATTTCGGCTGGAAGAAACGGCAGCAAATGTCTCACCAATGGTATTAGCAATTTCTTCTATAGAGCTAATCACTCGGCCATCTTTTTCCAAAAAGGAAATTGAGTGGTCTTTATATATTCCGCATGCTTTTCGAACTCTTTCCCAAACCCGCTTACTAGGCGTAGAGGATGTTATTGACGACACATATGAAATCCAAGAATTCCTTTGGCTCTGCCTTCTTACTTTTCGTGCATTTGCTTTGGCTCTTTTAAATGCTATGAGGTTTCGCAGAGTAGGATATCTACGAAAAATACCCCATGCTTTTTTCTGTTTTTTCAGTGCTTCATGACAGTCGCGATTCCACCACGGTTTCGAATATTTTAGTATTTTTCCTGATGTTCTAGGAATCGAAAGCATAGCTGCCTGAATAATAGTATTAGTAACAGCTTCAACAGCGTCATCGATATGCACATCTTCTACCATTTCCTCTGTGAGCTCTGCAATGGAAGAGAAGAGTTCCCAGTCTGCCCTGTCCAGGATAAAACGAGGGACTCTCGACATGGGGTTTGCTCCTCTTCGTGCAAGAGACACAAAATGGGATAATGATCGCTGTTGTACAGGTCATTTCCCGACACTAAAAGTGCAAAATGGCAACAGAGATGGTGAACAGATGGCAAGGTCGAGAGCGTGGAATGTCCTTGAAGGCTCATGGAAGTACGTATCTGCCCATTATTTAGGAGACAAAGGCTATGATCTTCGATCATCTGCTCAATTTGTCTTCCTCGGCAATTTGTATCTTTACTTCCCCAGAGTGGACTATGGCCGTTAAAATCTCCTATTATGATAAAAGGCTCAGGCAGCTGCTCTATTAGATTATTTAAATCTTGCTGATAAATGTGCTCATTTGGAGGCAAATACAAAGAAACAAATGAAACAACAATATCAAAATTTACTTGAGTAGCGACAACTTGGAGGGTGTCGTCAAAAGAAAGCACATTTGAGGGATAATCCAGTGAGGCGAGGAGACCTACTCCTCCACTGGCACGCTCACCTGCAAGGTTATCCTTCCTGACGAAAGAAAACCTCCGAAGTTTTGCTTGTTGTTCCGGTTTTAGATTTGCATACAGGTTGATGAACATTGATTATAGCTTTGATGTCGAGCAGATTTCGGTGGAAACCGCGACAGTTCCATGATACGAGGGTGGCCATTATGAACAGTTTTTGTTCTTTCTGTGCTCTTGTTTAATTTTTCGTGGAAGTAGATGCTTGGGAAGTTCCACACCCTCTTCTACTTCCATACCGTCTGAATCCGCATATTCAGAAACCATTCCATCTAGAGAGCTATTGCTGGAACTTCTATTTTTTATTTGTTTCTTTTCGAGTGGTAGTTTTGGGTTTGCTTTGAATTACTATTTCTTTATTTTGTACTGTATGGGTTGGGTTTTCTTTCTTCTTGTTGTTTGTAGTCTGTTGAGTTTTAATTGGTGGAGTCTGCATACTAACTGATGTTTGGGTGGCAACTGTGCGAGATCTTTTAAGAGCATTGGCGTAAGATGTATTTGGTTGTAGCTGTGTGCTTTGGACTAAACTTCCGACGGCCCCGCCCGTCGGTTGAGTGACTGGAGTAACTTCAAAATCCTTAATTAGAAAAATTTGAGGGTTAGCCATCATGAGAAAAGAATAGATTCGGGTCCGACGGCCCCGCCTACCACGGAGCCCTACAAGGGAACACAGATTCCTGTGTTAGGGCTAGCCGGACCTATACGCAAACTGAAGCCCCACAGTCGGCTTTCCCGAAAGCAGGTACTCCCGAGAGCTTGACCCCAAGCCACTGACACAAGGACTAGTGACCAGCCGATTGACACCCGTGAGGACGACTAAGGTGCCTCCCGTTTAGCTGAAGCAGAGGCCAAAGCAGTGTGTTGGGGACAGTACCTCGCCCCTCAACTACCAGGACCCTCCTTTCCAGCAACACGGGTCTCCACGCACAGCAAACACGTGGGCAGTTTTCTCGCCACTCGAAGACTAGAGACAAGGTCTGTTACTGTCTCTCGTGACGAGCCCCAAACTCCGTAGAGAGAAACCACAAGGGGAAAGGGAAGGGGAAAAAGTTCCAGCCAAGAGGAGAGGAGACGGAAAAGAGGATAGATTATTGGGGCTCCAGGATCGTGACACCCGTCTCATCAAGAAGATGATACCCTGAAGGGCTAGGGTACCTCGGGATTGCCACACCCGTACTCACAAAAGTGAGCCTCCTGAGGGCTAAGAGAGGACAGATTGTAGCAATATTAAGATGTCCATAAGAAGGTCAACAAAAGATAACACTCATTTAAACTAATAATTAAATAAAAATTGATAATGAACTAAAAAATTGTACAGCTATCTCAAGGAAGTGCAAAAGAATTGAAATCTCTCTTCTGGGATGATCTCAAACTGTGATAATAAAAATTAGCCCTATTTTTATACTCGCTTGAACCTCGTTTGATACCATAAAAACTGTGGAATTCGCTAAAATGCTACAATAAAATTTTGTAATTATTTGTGGATAGCTCAGCAGAAGGAAAATGAGAAATAACATTGTTTGTAATGAGAAGCATCATGATGCGGTTAATAACTGGATAAAATACGTTTTTGTAATTCATATTACTAAGTAAATTGAACGCTGATATGATGAACCGAGGAAAAATTACAAAAACGCGAAGAATTCAAAAATATATGCTGCTCTTAAAAATTTTGTGATTTTGCGGTTGCATTTTATGTGACCTTGAGTGAGAATAATGTGATATTTAATAATAATGTTAAAAAGACAGAAAAGGGGTATGAGTAGGTGATCTTGTAAAGAAAACTGAACATTGCTAAGATGAACTGGGAAAAGACTGAAAACAGTATTAGGCAGCACTTAACATCCCATTGATATTCTAAAAATAAGCTGCTTTTAAAGATTTTGTGATATTACTGTTGAATTTTAAGCGGCTTAGTGTGTAGAGTTTGTTTAATAATAAAATTTAAAAAAATTGTGTTAGCAAAAATTAAATCCTAATGCAGATTGGTAAACTGCGAGCTAAGATTCTGGTAAACAGGAAACTAATTGGTAAACAGGAAAAGAATAAAAACCTTAACAAACTGTCTGGTGCGACGTTAACTTCTGGATTCTTTCAGATTGTTCAATTATTGTAGGGAAGGAGGTTGTTAGCTATTAATGTGTTCAATCAAATCCTTGCATTCCTGTGAACTCATTTTTTGCCCTGACAGGAAAAGCAAAATAAAAATGACTAGCTGTTCATTGATCTATCGTTCAGTGAAATAATGAAGGACTTTATCACACTTCTTAATTTCTTAATAAGTACATTAATCTGTTGAATAATAGGTAAATTTCTTTCCAAACAAATTCGGAAAGATGTATTTGCAAAATAAGTTGAACATGCAGATTTCTATGCACTTTTAAATGCCTTGCGCTGATGTACCTAAACAACACCGCAGAGATAATGCTGCAAATGTAATGTTGCAATATTAAAATCAGTATAATAAATAAAATATGTCAAAGCAATTCATTCATTGCAGCTTTGGACTTCATACATAATTCTTTGTAGCCTTGCGTACACTTATTTTAAAAAGTTACCCGACAAGTCGCGTCACATGGGTGAAGTCTGTAGTAATTCAGCATAACTTTTAGAAAGTGTTAACATTTTCTTTACAGAAGAAGTGTATGAAATCACATGGTGCAGAACAGCGTAACTTACGTTACAAAGTAAGCGCAATTAAAAGATATTTCGACCGTATAGGGCATTATATAGTGCATTATCAGCCACATGCGTACTCTGCATATCAGTGAGCCAACAACTCTCTGTTTTCTTTGATCAAAAATTAAAGTTGGCCTCATTGGCCTACTATGACAGATACTAAAGAAGGCATTCTACCAATGTGTCCAGGAATACTGTGCGGTTGGAACTTCGAAGATAAATAAGTAATAATATTTTACATTTCAGGTAGAATACCATGTAAAACACTACTTGAACTACGACTGACTATACAAACATTTGTTGCCGCGAATTACCCTATATAGATTGTCTGCATCGAGTGAGCATTAGGATTAATCAGTGGAATAAAGAAAGCAGCATAGGAAGTCTGTTTCACCTGTAAAGAAATAGGAGGGAAAATAGCATAATTCGAAGTGTTAAATTTCATTTAACCACATCAGTATTCTTATCACAAAAACTCAGATGAACCTTTCAAGGTTCGAGTTTAACTTCTCTGCAACATTCGTGCCAGCATTCGTTCTGCCAAAAATAACTCTCATAGCATTTTCAACATTCGTTCCAACAACTATCATTTTGAGGAGTAAAGTTTGATGCTAGAGAATTAGGTTGCTTTTATATAGTCGAATTGCTATACGAAAAACGTTTAGGAAACTGAGGTCTTAAAAGAAAAGTTAATCACTTTCGCACCAGCTTTCATGTCTTTGATTCCATGTCACGTAAATTTAGGTGAAACGTTTTAATAATTACTGTTTTATACAACTTCTCCATGTATGAAAATGTTCTATAAGCTTTGAAGAAATTTCGACATCACAATGATGGAGTTAAATAAATGCCTTTTCAAAGGGGTTTATTCCATAAAGAAATGATTAACCTTAATTGTGCAGCTATAGACTAGTTAATTGAGTTAAGCATTGCGTACCTTATTTTGAAATAGAAACACTTTCCTTTATTTAAGATAATTAAAATATTAAAATTTATATTTTTATTTCCAATTTTACCTTACTCAAAAAAAAACTAAATTGCTAAATAATTATTCCAAAAGATAAAATTGCATAGTTATATATTAACTTTCGCTTTCCCTCGTCTTCTGTAAATTACATATTAATTAATTAAATTTTTCAAATCAAAATCAAAGTATAATTTTAAAAACTGATTATTTGGTTTCACTTGATGAATTGAGAAATAAACTTAAAAGATCCGAAACACAAATTTTGCACTCTCGTAAACAAATACATAATTGGGAAATAGCATAAAATCCCAGAAAAGGTTTTATTTTTCCTCTGGTTTCTTTATTTAAAAGGGCTTATTCTATGGTAGGGAAGGAGAAACAAGCTTTAACCCAGCACTCGATTGTCAACCCTCTGTTTTCAAATGAAACAAAAAAAGCTATATTAATTCAAACTAACTTTGGATTCTTTGCAGATCGATGGGAAGGCAAAGCAAGGAGAAAGTATAGCTGATAATGGTGGTTTAAATGCAGCTTACAGGGTAAGAAAAGCTTAAATGTTTAAAGACTTAAGTTATATATATCATATATTGCTTTACGGTTTCTTATTTCGAGTAATTTTCCCTTAGTCTTTCAGCCCACTAGGTTCTGAAATTGTTTATGTATTGTTTTATGTAACTTTCGACTTCCTCAAGACTTTCGACTTCCTTCAGAAAGCAAGCTTCCCTAAATTTTAAAATAGGTTCTTCCACATTTTGTTTACTTTTTCGCATTAATTCATTTGCCCGAGAATTTTGGGTTCGTAGGCTCCGGTTGATGAAGCAATAATAATGAAGAGTTTCAGAAAAACAGTGAAATTTAATGCGGCTCGGAATATCACAGCACGTGAGAAGATAGACTAAAAGGTGACAATGCTAGTGATGAAAATGGGATGATCTGAAAGCTGTAGCAGAAACGACACAGACCCAGCAGTTCTGAATGATTTGAGGGCTTAGTATTAGCAGAGGCTAAGGGAGGGTATGATTCAAGACTCAGGAAAGTAGAAATTTAGTCTTCCCAAGTATTATTATATGTATATTAATAATTACTGTATTAATCTCATTACATACTGTAATGCTAATATTACTATGCATTGTTACTGTAATGCAGGTTTATTTTGAACAAATAACAATGTTAAACACCGATTATTTATCCTTGAAAACTTTTTGCTATGTTCTTTCTCTAACTGTGTCCTTCGAAAATTAAATTATCCATACAATTTCCCTTCTCGATTTTGGTAAGATAAAATTATTAGAAAAAGCAGAAAAATACGTGAGTGAATACATCATACTAGAAGAGAAAGCTACTTAGGAAAATTTGAACCATTACTAAACATTACGCACTGCAGAAAAAATTATGTTTTTGTTTGCAGAAATTGAATGCGGATTCGTATGCGTTTTTCACGTTAATTTCAAACTGATTTATAGAAATATTTCATTTCATGGTATCGGCTTAATCTTGTGAGATTAAAAACAGTAAAAATCCTTTCCTTATTTCAACATAATGAATATTGAATCTTGCAGGAAGAATAAAGCTAATTTTTCAGAATAAACAAAATACTTTTATTTAAATTTTAAAACAGAACCAAAAAAAATAAATACTGCAGCTCTAAACTATCAAAATTTTAAACTCTTAACTACTGCAGTTAAAACTCTTACAACTATTAAAATATTCAAAATCTTAAACTCTCTAAAAAAAAAAATATATAAAAATCTTTCGAATCCTCTTCTTGTTGCCACACCGTAAAATGCAAGTTCTTGTCCTATTATTTATATTTCACGTTCTCTTTAAGTCACGATCTTCACAAGTCATGATCTTTACAAGTCACGATCTTTACAAGTCCCCCCACAAGAAGCACATTCGTCACCGTAGAGACAATGTTGCTCAGAGTTCATTGAGAGAGAAAGAGTTAACAGCTAACCTTGACAAAGCATCAGCATTCCCATGTGAACTTCCTTTGCGGTATGTCACAGTCATGTTATACCGTTGTAACGCTAAGGCCCAACGAGACAGTTTAGCACCATGAGGGGCGCTTTGGGTCAAGTAGGTGAGGGGATTGTGATCAGACACAATCTGCACTTTGGCACCGAAAATCCATGTGTCAAATTTTTTCAAGGCTTCGATGACACAAAATGCTTCTCGTTCGATGGTTGACCATCGTTGTTGACAGGGCGTTAATTTCTTGCTGAAAAATGCTATGGGCATTTCTTTTGTAAATGGCTTATGTTCATTATCATTCTCACCTATGGTAGGCAATCCTAGTAGCTGTTGTTCCTTATCATCTTTCCTTCTCTTCTATCTTTCCAATGGCTTTGTCAAGTAGCTCATACCATTTCATCAATTGTTTCAAGCTTTATCAATTTCTTCAAATATGGGATTTCTGTGCTTGGTGAAAGTCCTATAAACTAAAAAAAAATCTCAGCAATTTTTTTCTTCTGCTTTTTCTAATAATTCTTCATCAACATGATGTAGATCGTCTACCTCGGACTCGGGCTCTTCTATTAATTCAGCAATTCCTTCCGTTTCTTTCTCGTCTTCCAGTTCTTCGCTTTCATCCGAATAACTTTCTGTTCAATCTTCCATGTTTTCACCCTTGAACTTGAAAGGTTTCTGTGTTTTCAGTTTTCAGTTTCAGTTTCATTGTGGATGACATTTTCCTTTTCAGTTTCAACTTTTGTTGTATAATCCACACTTTCTTTTTCATCTCCCAGTTCAACAGTATCTATGCTGTCCTTATTGTACTTTTTGTTTCTGTTATCATCCAGAATTTCTTTTTCAGTAAATTGTAATAGTTCACTGTTATCTGCAAGTTTATTTTCAGTTTCAAGATCTGCAGCTTCTGTGTGATTTACATTTTCATTTTCAGTTACTAAGTCAGCTTTCATACTTTCCTTATGGATTATTAAGTCATTCTTTTTATCATCTACTTTTTCCTTCTCGTTTCCAATTTCAGCAATATATTCTTTCTCTTCTATGTTCTCATAATCAAGATTTACTTGAGTTTTATTGTCATCTGCAATTATTTCTTTTTCAGCTGCAGTTTCAGCATCATCTGTATTTTCTGTTTTGGTTATTGGCTTCATTTGAGTTTCACTTTCATTGACAGTTTCTTTTTCAACTGGGATTTCAGTCTCACCCATAAATTCGTTTTTACTTTCAGGTGGAATAATTTCTACATCTGTTATTTTGCTGTCAATTAACTTTTCCTCTTTGAGTTCATCTTCTGTTTCTACCCTCTTAGTTTCTCCTGTTATAATTTCTTTCTTCCTTCTGTGCTTCCTGTTCAACAATTTTATCTTCTATCATTTCTGTTTTCTCCATTTCTGTAAAGGGCAGTTCTTTACAACTTCCACAGAATTTTTTAACATCTTGCTTAATAGTAGGCCAAAAGAATGAGTACTTGATTCGTTGAATTGTCTTTTTCTCACCGAGGTGGCCGGCAAGAGGGATTTCATGTGCCATTCTTAGGACTTCCCTTCTTTTTTCTAAAGGTAACACAACTTGCTTAATGTTTTCACCACAGATATATTCGGAATGAAGTAATATGCCATCATCGAAAGTATATGAATTTTGATTTTTATTTGCCCATTCAATCAAAGCTTTTTTCAGAGTTTCGTCTTGTTCTTGATGTGTCTTGAATTCTAGTCTTACCTTGTTCGTTGTTTTCAGAGACTCTATGTTTTCTTGGGAAATCTGATTAACAACAGCCAAATTTGTAGTATTGTCTTCAACTGGTGAGGGTTTATCATCTGTCTCTTTGTACTCTAAGGGGGATGCATCCCAATAACGATCACAGTTAAACAGTTCGATATTCCCACAGAGTGTTTCATAAGCTGAAGAACTCAATAGCAAATCGGTAACTAGCTTTTTTGAAACAGCACACGTAATGGACACTCTACCGTGAAAATCATCGTCAATTTTCATCTGGAAAATCTTTAGTGGAGTAATTTCGTTTTCACCAAAAGCAGAAGATATCTCTATTTTACTTTCTCCTTTCGCAAGGTATGTTGTCAACCAATTTCTCACGGACTACTGAGATTTGTGCTCCCGTGTCTACGATTCCATTTAAAATAATATCTCCACATTTAACTTTGACAAGTTTTAATTCATCTATGTTTCTAGACACGTCCACTGATTTTGAGACAGGAATAGAGATCTTGGCAGTTAGCACTTCTGGTTTTTCTTTTTCTGTAAGGGGTGCTTGTGTTTGTATTAAGTAAGTTGTTTTGTGCTGTTGCAGAAGCACTTCTTGGTATCCGATTTTTGGTACATAACTTAGATGTATGACCTTCTTTTCCACAATTATAGCAAGTTAGTTGAAACTGAAACTAGGCTTTTGTGGTTCGTCACTCTTACGGGATGGGTACACTCTTGGCGTGTTTTCAGCGGACAGCGATTTATTTCTGAAAGCTCTTTCTGGAAGTGGAGAATGAGGTTGCCATTTTTTATTAGTTCTGTCTGCTGATGGATTACCACCAGTCCGTTTTGAGATATTACGAACACTGTCATATTCGTCAAGTTTATCAGCTAATTTGGTTGGAGAAACGAACTTCGCCCAGTCGTCAAGAAGATGGTCTCTTACTTCATAGGGTACTCTTTTCTTAATTTGGTCAGTAATAATCAAGTCTTTTAACGCGGCAAAATTTGTGATTTCAAGACCATTGATCCATTCTTCAAAATAACTTGTAATTTCGTAGCAAAAATCTCTCCATGATTTTTCAGCGCTCTTTTGGTGCATCACAAATTTTTTTCTAAAGCTTTCAGGATTTAATTTAAATCTCTTCAATAAAATGGCCTTAATGTACTCATAATCTTCAAAATTTTCTTCAGATTCCCTACCAATTAATTGAATGATTTCAGATGGCATTAAAGTCAATAAACATGAAACCCAATCTTTAGGATCAATCTTTGTCCTTTTAGCTTGTCTTTCAAATAAGGATAAATAAATCACAATATCATCGTGTCTTAAATTGAATTTGGGAATAAGCTTAATTAAATCAAAATTAAATTATGATGTCCATTTTCATTTGTTGGTGGAGTTTGTGTTAGTCGAACACGAGATTCAATTTCGAGTTTCCTCAATTCAAACTCCATTTGCTCTCTTTTCTGCTGTGCTTCTAATTCTTCTTTCTCCTTTCTTCCCTGTTCCTCAATCTCTTCTTTCCTTCGCCTTTCCTCAAGCTCTTCTTTCTCCTTTCTTCGCTGTTCCTCAATCTCTTCTTTCTCCTTTCTTCGCTGTTCCTCTTCTTTTCTTTTCCTCTCTTCAATAATCGTTAAAAACACTTCTTTAGCAAATGCTTCATCATATGTATCACTTTGAATTATTTCATTTTTTATCGCCACGATTTTCATACTTGGATCTACTTGAATTTCTAATTCAGCAGCTAAAACTAGCAAGCATCCAATCCTCTTTTTCCCACGTCCCATAAAAGCCATGTCTCGATTTTATTCAGCCAATAGACTCTTAGTTAAAAAAAAAAAAAAAAAAAAAAAAAAAAAAAAGAAACAATTTTTTTCTCTTTTCTTTTTCTATTTAAATATAATTCACAATGAATTTAATTTTATTCGGCACGAAAATCAATCAGTGGAATCAATACTTAATGTGTTGTTCACCTACTCTGGCGAGTCAAACGAAATTACATTTGAACACTGGCGTATTCATTACTTTGACAAGTAAATAAACTAAGATTCCATGACGGAAACAATAATTAACTTTTCATAATCTTAATTAATTATTTTACGTTTATAAGGTAAATTGAGCTCTCACCTGAGTTATTTTGGTTCATAATTATATGCGGGGAAACTCCGATCCTGTCGACTGCGCCAGTAAAGATCCCTTCCTTATTTCAATATAATGAATATTGAATCTTGTAGGAAGAATAAAGCTAATTTTTCAGAATAAACAAAATACTTTTATTTAAATTTTAAAACAGAACCAAAAAAAAAAAATAAAAAATACTGCAGCTCTAAACTATCAAAATTTTAAACTCTTAACTACTGCAGTTAAAACTCTTACAACTATTAAAATATTCAAAATATTAAACTCTCTAAAACAAAAATATATATAAAAATCTTTCGAATCCTCTTCTTGTTGCCACACCGTAAAATGCAAGTTATTGTCCTATTATTTATATTTCACGTTCTCTTTAAGTCACGATCTTCACAAGTCATGATCTTTACAAGTCACGATGTTTACAAAAAGGAAAATGCATTTCATATTAAAAACGTGCGTATGACCAAAAATATATCTGATTTCAGTTTTGTAGTTAGCACAGCTTTAGCAAAATCACTGTTGACTAGGTTAACGTCTAGTCGATTAAGATCTAAAGCGCATCATTTGAAACGACCTTCATTACTTGCCTGATGTTTACAAAAGGGAACATTTAAACTAGTATAGACCCACCAGCGGCCTAGAGGGAAAGTCGCTGAATACTGGTTAGTTCAGTTCAGAGTTCTAATCCCGGAGAAATGGCTGACGGCATGGGCGTTTTCATGGTTTTCCGATGTGTAACGGATATACGAGACCGTTTCCCTTACAGAGACCTCCAAAAAGACATCTTTCCCCCAAAGCCCTCGAGAGCTTTGTCATAATTAAACCAAATAAAAAAAACAGTTAAACTGTATTATTATTATAATAAACTAAAGAAAATATACCAGGAAGAGAATGCGCATTTTTGTTTTTAAATCACTCATGCTGTTTATTGTAATACTATGCAGAGTTTTTAAAGCTTTGGAAGACGTGTAGCAAGATTAACTATAATGCGTGTATTTGCCAGCAAGAGCTGGTGATTAATGTCACATGATAAGGAAGAGTTATGGCGCTAGATAATTGAATTACTTTGTGAGGTTTATCTATTTATTTTTAACTAATTAATAGTTAATTTTTAGTACTTTCCTATCACTCTCTTTTCACTCACCCTGTGCATTCCAGAATGCAAATGATATAGCGAGAGTTTATTCGCATTGAGAAAGAAAAAGAAAAAAAGTTATGCTATTTTAGCAAGAGTTTCAGAAGTTAGTGTTAGAGCGTGTCTGCCTGGTTCAGGCCAAGTTGCGCCGTGATTTATTAGCGATTTAATTCTGTGGCTTTGAGTCACTGTGGAGTCATTGGGTTATTTTGGAGCAGGAGACATGAAAAATGAGCAATGTTTTCGCCATGACTCGAATCCTGGACCTCTCGAATACCCGCCGAGTGTGCTACCGTTACAGCATGAAAGCATGCAGAAAGGAGGGAAAAAATACCTTGTAACTTTTAATAAAAATTATATATATGAGACTTTATATGTATAACACATATAACTGAAGAGACGTAACAAAAGATTGCACATATTATTTTATTGTTTGATTAGTGTAAACGAGTACTTGCAGAAATTATTTTTCAGCATATATATTATCCCATATTTAAGAGATATTAATTAGAGTAGATATTTCAGAATAGGAATCCTGCGTTTTCAGTAAGATACTATCAATAATTTGCCAAATTTTCAGTTAGCAGATATGCATCTAACATATGGAGTGACTGTTTCCAAAGGGAAAGCAAGCTTTACGAATGTGCGATGAGCGGTAGCTAATAGGCGATTTCCAAATCACCAGATTTTTGTGCGGCTGCATCAAAGATTGTCCGATACGTTACCTTTCCGGATACTTAAAAGGGATTGGGAACGAGGATACGAACACCTGAGTTAGGAGAGATGGTACTCCGTTATGCAGAATGAAATTAATGTGTTAGCAGATGAGAGATCGCTGCAAACCCCATGTTTCCCAAATCATCCTTTGGAGAACCACTTGCCTTCATACCGGGAGCTGCAAATAGAGCAACTGCTATCTGCTTATTACTTATCGCGAGTCGCATCTGCGACAGTCCTCGTTGTCAAGGATTCATTTCTTTGTAACAATAAAATGCATAGCTATGGGCACTGAACAACACTAAGTGTACCCGAGCGCGTGCAGTACAGTACCAGGTGTTCATCAGGTTTCGAGGGGAGCATTGTTAGCGACCACCCAACAGACCCATATCTCATGCTTGTTTGTGTGAATGTACGGCCTTATACAATTTTCTTTAAAGGAAGTCTTGTCCGGTCTGTTATATGAGCAAAACATCCAACAGCAGGAGATCAAAGAGATGTGGCCCTAGGAGGATGATGCTTCAGCCCATTTTACTTTTTCCGTTAGGAAACACTTGAATTCAACGTTTGGTCAAACGTGGATTGATTATGGGGGTACTCCTCCTTGATCTGTATGTTCACTGGAACTCTTTCACCTAGTTTTTTTCCTCCGAGATTTACCTGAAAAGCCCTGGTTTACGAAACACTCGTAGCCAGTGAGGGTTTTCTTTTCGTGTGCATTAGCGTAGCTAGAGAGATCCTCCTTAAGATTCTCTATATATTCCAAAATATCCAGATTATATGCTCTCCGGTATTCCGTTTGTATTAGAGGTGGCAGCTGTAATTCCAGCAGTTAATGTGATTCTCATCGCAAATGTAATGATTCGCTGGATTAAAATATTATCACACTCCCTTTTATTTCTTGTGCTTCCTTCTCGTCGTACTAGTATATGAGGACTGCTTTTGCACTCCAATTATTTTACGGAATTACGAATCGTTCTTTGAGTAACTTATCCCTCTATAAAAATTATACACGTTTATACAAATCACGTGGTATATATATATACATGTATGTGTATATTTATATAATTCATAATAATTTATAATAAGAAAACTTTCCATATACCATCTCCAAGGAATACAAATTCAATTTAAAAACATGAAAAAAAAATAGTCAGAATGTATGTAAGTATTTTAAATATTAATTTCAATCTAATAGTAATTTATTAATTTAAATAGTAATTTATATGTATATATATGTATGTATACATAAATGCACGATATGCATCCATTACACAAATTTACACTATACAAGGTCATAGTTGAATATTGTGATGATCAACAGCTTTTAAACCCAAATTTATTTTTCAATTTTGCTTTTGAGAACATGTTTTAAGAACACGTACTTTTGAGAACGTATTTTAACTCTGAATCGTTCTGTATTTTTGCAGGCTTATCAGTCGTGGGTAAAAGACCATAAAAGCGAAGGGAAATTACCGGGACTGCAGAATTATACACAAGATCAGTTGTTCTTTATAAGCACAGCAAGAGTAAGTGCAGTGTTTACCACATAACACATTTAAAACATTTATAACATAGTATTAAGCGATTACATTATTATTTAGCTGTAAATATCATTCTGAGAATGTTTGGGTGAAAGTATACTGGAATATATATAATCATTTCTAGAGACTTCTCGATTGCCCTACAGAAGCAATTTTTCTTTCTTAAAATACGTATCATAAGAAATCCCCGTCGAAGATATTTATCTAAAGCGATGCCCTTTGTATATGTTATAAACTGTAGTTTTATAAATATTCTCAAGGCAACAATGTTGGTAGGGGAATTAATCAATGTTGTTATAATTACCACTGATATAGGAAATGCAACAAAAGATATGGACCGAAGTTTATATCATTTGGCTTTGTGGCCGTTTGCAAGACACATTTAACACTTTGAATAATTCGCGTTTTAAATATTGCTTTAGATTTTAAGCTCTATGATAATTATTCAGCATACGTTTCTTGATTTAATGAGTTAAGCATAATAGAGACGGTGCTCAAAATAACAATGAGCAGTTTAAAATGAATATTTTTCTTTATATAAATTTTTAATAAATAAAAAAATGGAAGCAGAAATTCTTTTATAATTTAATTTCAAATACAAAGAAATGAATTAGTAGTATGAATAGTTTAAGAATAATAATTCATGTAATGGAACGATATACAGCTCATAGTAAAACTCTGTTTACGTTTCTAACTTTTAATCTAAAAATACCCACCTTTAATTTCTTTTACCTTTGAGAACCAATTGATTTTAAAGTAACTGAAAATACATTCACATCCACTGCCATAAAATGTACAGTTACTATTAGTCACCGTAATTGCATTATATTTTCCAGTTAATGTGTGAGAAATACACAGATGTAGCAAAGAATGAAGGTGCACATGCGCCAAGTGACGTTAGGTAAGTGAAAATATTAAATTCCTTTCTAAATAGTATAAATTGGCCTAATAATGATATATACAAACGCATACGCAAGGTGAAGCTCTTAAACAGTGAAATAGGTCTCGAGTTCAGAAAAACTGCAGTTGTACAAGATATTTACTGAACAGTAGAATGACTATGATGTTCGAATGAAAATCAGTAGTAGTACCCCTAGAGGAGAAAGTTATGAAATTTTACTCACAAGTTCTCAGAGATAGAGAAAAAATGTCAATAGCATTTTCAAGAATCAAAACTTTTATCTCGTTGTCATAAGAGGTACGTCCTACATAAATTAGAATAATGATTAGCGTATCTATAATAACGATTAGAATAATATCAGAAGACCTGAAATGAAGAAAAATCAGTATCCAGTTTGGTGAATAAGTCTCTAATGACATCTCAAGGCATAAAATCTTCAAAGAGTTTGCCTCAATGATGGATGAATAATAGTACGCAAAAAGAAAGTCATACCTAATATGAAAGCATAAATTGGCAATCAGAGAAGATTTGTTAGATATTGCATGGACTGCATTTTCGTCGGACAAGATGGCGGCATAGCACTCTGAATTAATTTTTCTTAATATCTCTTATCTCCCAGTGACTACTATAATCAAAATCTTTACAGAAACAAGGAGTATTACATGTCTAATTTACCTTAACTGCAGTACGAGAGATATCATTGTGGTGTGTACTTTACATTTGAGTGTGTGTGGAAACGTTTAAATTAATTGCGAAATCACTCTTACAGTTCGGCACTAACACAAGACTGGTTGCCAAGACATTATCAGAGGTTGTTACAAATCATGCGTGTTCGTGATTTTTATACTGAGTATATAACTTGATTTCTTGTCTAATACTGTTTGACAGGATGACGTAAAATTCCATCACAAAGGGGTAATACACAGACATAACCGTCCCTTTTTGGCATCTAACAGTGTCATATCACAATAAACGGTGAAGCTCTATACTTTTACTGTAGCCTTGAAAACTAGTTATATCTCTTTTCAGCGATAAAATGGGTAACTTTAGAAATTCGACTTAAAAGCTGTACAATCTGTCTTGAATGACATACGACAGTTATTTTACTCTAAATGGACACAACTTCCACAGAACTAGCTATCAAGGTTCAAAAATTATTTTGGTGCTAAATGACAATTTTTCAACACGCAGAAAATTCGAAATGATAGCTTCAGATTTAAGTAATATGCACATTTAAATTTTGAATCATCGTATTACTTATTTTTGAGATATTATTTAGAGTATTTCAGATCGGATTCGAGAAGTACTGATAGCAAAATATTGCTAACTAGTTGATATTTTGTTAGCAGACATAATTTCTTAACCGTTTCATTTTTCTTGAATTCGATCCAAAAAATAATCACATTTTTTATGGCATTTTTTAAATTTTATTTTTGTAAGTAGGAAAATGTTATTAAAATAAATTTTTGTAAAATTTTTAAGCATTTAGAAAAACACTTTATTGCAAATAAAATAATAGTAGTTTTCTTGGACCAGCTCACCGAGCGGTAAAGTCGCTGTACACTATAATTCGGTCCGAGGTTCGAATCATGCAAACGAGCAGGCTGCATGGGCGTTTTCGTGTTTTTTTTCCCCATGCGTAACGTGTATATGAGACAGTTTCTCTTGGAAAGTCATCCAGGAAGGCCTCCCTCCCCCCTTAGGCAAATAGCTCTCGAGTGCTTTGCCGTAATCGAATAAACCAAAACCAAACCAAACCAACCCTGGAATTAGCCTTTTCTTCTTACAGAAGCCGCCTAAAGGAGAAGTTATATTTACAGTTGTATATATTGAAAATAACATTTGTTTACAATTATGTTCGATTATATTTCGATTGTTTCGATTCATTTACATTTACTTACCTTTCTTTTTTTTTCAAAGATCTGATTTAGTGTGATATATCTTAAAACAAGGCGAGAGGTAATGTTCAACATGACAGCTCAGACAAATGTACCGAGTTTCTTTTCTAATTCTTTTGCTGTTGACATTTTTCTTTCAATGAACACACATATCTCCGTCTTGCGGATATTAGGTTTTTCATGTCAGTAAAATCACATTAAAACTTTCTTTCTACTGGTCTTAATCGAGCTGTTAAGCACCCAAGAAGATATGTCTTTAATCTGCTACTTTTGCTTCCCTTTCAATCAGTCAAATGATAACTTCCAATCGAAACTGTTAATTCGTATCTTTACCGCCATTTTTTATATTAGTAGCGAAGTCATCTAGACAATTTTTACTACTTCCAGACTCATTTACAGACGTTTCATGTTGTTCATGTTCATTCTGAATCATTGTCTGAATGGCAAGAGTTTAGCTTCATAGATTCTGAATCGGCCATTATTTTATGATAAAAAACAGTTTTTCACTTACTTTTACATGAATAAAGTTAACAAATCAACCATAAAATGTATTTCAAAAGCTAAGAACTGAAAAATAAAAAATCGCTGAATCACGTAAACGACGTGGAACAAGCGCGCTCATTTGATCCGTTCGAATGAGAACAAAATGGCGTTTACAAACTACAACTTAGACGACCTCTATGGGATTAATTTGATATTAAAAATAGAAGCAAATAATCATATTATCCTTATAGCATTTCTTCTTACTATAGCCGGAAGAAAGTATTTCGCTGGATGGGTTAGCAGTCGGTGTAAAAGTCCTTAATAACTGGAGGATACATTTTCTTCAAAGGGACGTCAGTAGTCGAGAACTTAAATGTTGGCTAATTAAGCAAGCCTGAAATATAATTTCAACTTTCTAATGATATTATATTCAAGAATCATTGATATTAGTTCTAAAATATAAATGTACGTTACTATTTATGAGAAATATCTTTTACTATAGATATTTATTTTTCTTTGGAGAATTTAACGAAAAACGTCAACACGCAGTTGTGCCAAATCGTAAAATCCACGAAGATCATAAATCAAAGTTTAATCATAAATTAAAAACTCGTGCATTAAATGTGTGTGAATAATGAAAAATAATAAGTCACAATATTTCAGGGGCGTTCGCGGTTTATAGTCGTAGAGTTCTAACTTTGTAATCACCTAGAGCGTCATTAACATCCTATTACCCAGACAGTCCTATGAAATGTTTCAAATAACATTTTCATGTCACTTGATTTCAAAAGGAAAACATTAATTGTATTTGCAAGCAATCTCCGCTACTTGCGGATGGTAAAATAGCAAAAATTTCATATTTTAAGTGAGTACGGTAAACTGAGCTTAAGGAAATTTGGCCTAACTGCGGTAGTTAAAACTTGGGGCGTTTTGACATCGGCTAGCAAAATGGTTAATGCCGTAATGTAACAGGCCGAGTTGAGCGGTATAAAATAATGCTGCAAGTCACGTTGCGAAAAGCTTTACATCTAAAACACTAAAAATCCTCCCTTGAAATTCTCTTCAATCTTATTTGCATCCCGGTGATGGTTAGTGGAAATGAGAAATAATAGTAAACTTTAAATCATAAAAATCGGTTAATTAATATAAATACATTACATAGTTGCTATCATCGACATCCTTGAATATATTTTGGCAGCCGTTCTTTAAGAGAAGAGTACCACCTTCGTATGAGGGTCTGGGCTGCAATATCTGCCGTAAAAAAACGCTAACATTTTCACGGCGTTTACTTTCTACAACAAGAATAAAATCAGTATAAACACCTCATTGATTGACTACAAATAGTTTAGCAATAAATTAATATAAAAAGCAGCGCAGAAGGAATATGCGATAATGGGGTTCTGTGAATGTAACCAAACATACACTTTCTTACGCTCCAGCAAGAAATTTAGCCATTTGCATAATCGGTAAAAATTGAATTGCGAGCCAGGGGCAGGTTAGATTGCGATAATTTATTTGAATATAGCAAATCTTCACAAATGGTCTCTTGACAGAGGATAAGTATGACTTCATGGAGGACGTTCTAAGAGACGTTGGCTTGTATGGACTTTACATACCATGAAAACAAACCATCTAGCTGCCCGTCTACCTGAATTCAAACCCAGATCGGCGACCAGTATTCAGTAAGCTGAACCGCTCGGCCAATGGTGGAGCGCTAACTAGGGAGAATTTAGATAGAATCCTGCGGTTAAAAATGTTGCTAATGAACACTAAACTGCTTTTGACGCCATATCCCAAATATCTATAATAACAGACATCTCCACAAATAAAACCCTTTTGTTGAGCAAATATTGATAATGCTCCAAGCGAAAGTCACACTCCTCATACTTAATACTCCTCATACATGTATTTAAAATATGTTTTCTCTTTTACAGAACGATAGGAATGATATCTAATATGCCAGAGTTTGCAAAAGCATTTCAGTGCTCAGAAGATTCTAAAATGAACCGAAAAAATAAGTGTCGAGTTTGGTAGGAGAGCCAAACGAAGAATCGGAATTTTAGAAACGTTTTGTAGGGGCACTGTTATTATTGCTGTAACTGATATTGTTTACTGTTATCATTTTTGAATGTATGCATAAAACATTGCACTTAAGATTTAGAAGTAGTTACATAATTGTAAACTCTTCTTTCAATAAAATATTTAAATTTATTTGCAAATTATGGAAATTTTTTAAGATAAATCAAATCATGAGAAAAGGATTTAGTTTCAATTAACTGAATGAGTTTGCTTAAAGAACTTATATGTAATATTCAAAACTAATACTTCAGAATCCTAGCCAGTAAATCTACGAATAAATTTCAGTATTTTAAAGGCGAATCGAATCGATCAGATGGCAATGTAGGATCAAAAAATGGCATCGTCACGTGCAAGACGGAAGGGAATCGACCCCAGGCTTAGCTAACATCTTAACATGCAGCAATGATATAGGTAGCCGTAAGCTGAAACTAGCTAAACTAGCTATACGTTAAAACTCGTAAACGAATGCTAAAATCCCTAGGAGTTTTTAAAAAGTAAAACAATCAGTAATGGGTCTGGAAACTTCTATAATCTTCTGTTTCTTACACAAAAATCAGTCAAATGCAGAGATGAAATGAGCCACTTTTATGGAATGTATTAATAGTTTATTTTTTTTAATTTAGAAGTTAATTATCTCAATCGAAACCTTTACCAAAGAGAGGCGCTTCGCATTCTCAATAATGTCTCATTCCTTCCTGATAATGATAATTTACAAGGTGAAGACATAAAAGCCACGATACTCCCTCCTAGCATGACTTCGGTATGCTAATCAATAAAGCAGGGCATTTGGGAAGCATTGATAAAGAGATACAGAAGTGAATTTCTTTAACATTTTGTCTTAGCCATGGAGTAAAGGTGTGACATACTTACAAAAATAGGAAAATAGACATTTTGAAAGTAGAAAAATGGATATCTGAATCTTGGAATGATAATGAGTAAGTAAACTTGCTTTATTTCTGAAGAAGGTTGTAGGACCATTCAGGAAAAGAGATCTTATAAAGGAGAGAAGAGATAAAAAAAAAAAACTAGGAACTACTGAAGACATTTTCCGCTCAAAAGAAAGTACTAATAATGTTGTCGAAAACTTCGTGAGGAAAGATGAAAACTGGAGGCTTTTAGAAGATAGTGAAACAGTTGTATTACTGTATGAGGGAAAGGTTAAAAAGTACAACAACGTATAAAATGAAGAAGTAAGAGAAAATGGAACAGTTAGAAAGGTGACCCATAGGAAAGCATCAACAGCAGCTGCACTAAAACTCTGTTTCGCAAAGATGCAAGCTGTATCTGCTGTGGACATTTTGTTTCTCAGTTGCCTTAGCTTCCAGAGAATTTTTTCTGGAGAAACTACTAGCTATGTCCACAATTTTGTATTAAATCTATTAATTACAGAGCTTAGAGCTTTCACGTTTACGAAGATTAATAAAGTTCTAATAAGCAAAAGGTAACAAAGAAACGTAATATTATGAAGACAACACCTACTATAGGAGCACCTACTATGGAACGTGTATAAAGGACTTTTCTTCTATCGCAAAACCCTTTTGCATATTGATAAAGAGTAAGCAAATGTTCTTGAGGACAAAGGAATATCAGGATGCATTTTAGAAACTGAAAGAGTAATATTAATTTTTTAATAGCTGGATGGACACAGAGGGTCCAGGAATATTATTATCAGTCTTTGGAAAAGTATCGTCACACTAAAACCCAGATGCTCTATCCAGAAGACATTGCCCAGAAGGCTGCCGATTATATTCGAGGGTCTAAGCTAAATACGAGCTACTTAACGTACGTTACGTTAGGAATTCAACTCTTCTGACCCACACCCATGAAGTGACGAAAATAAGAAACCAGTTGAAAGACTGTGACATTTAATCCATAATTGACTTAATGGAATCTGCAAAGAGAAAACCTACCTGGCAAGAAATTGCGATCCTGAGTTGGTTTGTCTGGGACTCATTCCATATTCGAAACTGCGTCTTATATGAAAATTCGATTTTGATGATAGAAAAGCCATCTGATGGCAGATGATACTTCCAAGATCTCAATTCTCGGACGTCCTAGAAGAATTACATAGCAGTCCAACAGGAGATCACCTCGCAATAATGAAGACTTTTAATACAGTTCGAGAGTGCTTCGACTGGAGTAATGCAAGGGATGACGTACAAACGCGGTTCCTGTGTAAGCCGGAAAAGACCGAACAAACACGGCTAAGAGAAGAAGTGTCCTAAAGCGTATTCCAGCTCTGATCAAGAGGCTGTCACAATAGCACAGATAATGATATAGGCTGAATTTTCAGATATGGAGCGCCTTTTTAGTTACATTCCGGTCAAGGAATTACTTTTATTTCGGCTGTAAGCGAGGAACTATCTAAACTCCTTCGGGTATCTAACCTCCTTAACATGGGTACAGAGGAAAAGCAAAAGAATCTTGCAAGCTTTGAGCATACATTTACTGTATTATTTAAGAATTTTAGGAACTTAAGTAATTAATAAAAATACTAGGGACTAATTATTTTAATGATGGAATTATATTTGTGTAATCATGTAGTCTATCGTTCTTATACTGGAATTCACATCATATCGGAATCGCATTTTAAAGATTAAAATATTTTAATGAATATTTATGATAATATTTAATACCAAAAATATAAAGGCGAGTCTTTGATAAATCATACGAAGCATTATTAAGCAAATAAATACAATTAAATTCTTATAAATGTGATTTATGTAATTTAAGATATATAAGAAACATCAGAACAAGGAATATTCCAAAGACGAATCCCACCTTTAAATTTTAAACATTATTTATGAGTAAATTTCTTCATGCTTGTTAAATTTCACTTTCTAACTAAACGTAGAGAATAATTCAAAGAAATGAATAGAGATTTAAAATCTTTAAATACTGATTTTAGATACGTGCTTGCAAAACAAAATACATTAAGCCTTTGCTGAACACGGGGTAACTTCATTACCACTTTGCGCGTATGGCCAAATCGCGTTCCTCAAAGCTTAAGTTCTAACGAAGTAACGTAGTTCAGATTAAGAATGTATACCTAACCTAAATATCATTGTAATTAAAAGAAGAAAATTAAATAATGTTAACTGAAAGGATTTCTCTTGCTGCTTAATTAATAGGTACATGTCAAAATTTTTAAATGCTTTCTAACATTTTAACACATTTTTTTAAATAGCTGGTTTTAAATACTTAGGACAATATTTGACGATATTTGAAGGAGTGCAAAAGTTTTCAATGCCTTCTCATAAAATGCCCTCTTGTTTCTTCATTTAGGTCAATCTCATTTACAAAATCAGACAGCTCTCTTGTACCTTTTTTAATAATTCGTTTAAATTTTTGTACTTTAAGGCCCTTTACCTTTTTCATTATTTTGACTTTCAGCTTTGCTTGATGTTGTAGCATCATCCAGTTCTTCGTTTTCTTTTCATGATCTTCATTCTCTGATAATTCGGTAATTTCTCTTCCTTCCATAGCTGAAAATCCTTCAACTCCTATTGCTTTTGCTTTTTGTACGTATCCTTTGTAAGCATCCTTGGCTTCATTTCCAAACGAGGAAAAATCCTTCAAAGCTGTTGAAAACTTCTGGCAGTGATCTTCTGGTAGCAAGCAATCATTGTCGAGGAATTCACTTACTCCCATGGGAGTTTAATCATTTCTTTGCGGTATCTTATATGGAATTGCTTCCCAAATGTTATTAGACTGTCGTGCTTTCCTTCGTCTGTGGTGCTTTATTTGCAGAGATGTAAATATGCCTGACATAATGGTCTTTACTAATTCAGAAGTCAAATAACAAAAATCAGCGTTATATTTTCAAATTTTCACAGGACGAATTTCGATGGTTTTACCGAACCACCATCGTCAGCTGCAAAAGCGCAAATGAACGAGATAGGATATAATGATCAGATAAGATAAGAAAGCCTGAACAGAAAATAAGCTAGTGGCGCCACCTGTTGATGAAACCAGAACTAAAACATAATTTCTTTAAAGGCCGAAGGCAAAGATGGATTGGAATTAGGATCGTTAACTAGAACAGAAAGATTTTTTTTGAATGTGAAATGCCTCTAGAAAATCTAGTTCTCCAATGGAAGATGGTTGAATTAGTATTTGTTCGGCGTGTTATTGTGTCTTAATTAATGGTCCTTTGTTTTCATGATACCTTGATCCATTGGTTGGAATAAGGAAGTGGTCTTTGGTTGAAGGAATAAAAACCTCTATATTTGGATGTAATGTTTTGAGGTCTTCAGTCCTGTGCTCTTGCGCGTTATCGAGATGAGACTTTCAAGCTCATGGTTTGCTTTCAAAATAATGTTTGATTTTCATCAATGAACGAATTTTCAAACCAGTCATTTAAAAGGACTATCACAAAGCGCCAGATGTTCTGCAGCGTACAGCCTAAAATTGAAATTCTTGCGTTGGCCAAATTAAATGGAAACAATTAAGAAAACGTACATACGTAACATCACGTTCCACAAATGCGTGTTCAGGAATGGTTTATTGTACAAAATGTTACGAAGGCAGCCTCAATACTTCGTGTTCTGGAAGGATCTACCGTACAAAATTTTACGAAGGCAATCTCAAAACTCTGAGTATAGTTCGACCGCCTCATCCGCGACCATGAGCGCAAACACGCATGCGCCATTCGGACATAATTATTCTACAAAATAGGGTAGAAGGATAGGGACTTTCTTTCCCTCCAGCATAGCTCTTTCTGGAGAAGACCTTTCACGTCCAGCAAGTAATACCGCCCCTTTTGGACGAGTCTATGTGTTTTGGCAGAATGCCAACCAGGGTTGCGCTATAGACGGGTCGAACTATACCAGCCTCCGTGGATATAAAACCTTGCACAGACATTAAGTATTTTTTTAAAGCAGGAGAGATAAAAAATGAGCAATGCCCTCGCCGGGACTCGAACCACGAATCTCTCGAATACGCGTCGAACGCGCTGTCCACTACACCACGAAGGCATGCTAAGAAGGCTAGAGAAATACCTTACGACCTAATATTTTGCATGGCCGTATAGAAGACAAATTTAATTTATTTAAATATTGATAAGACTTTAGAGAGTTAAATACAAGTATTCCATGCTTTCCTACTCGAAATTCACAGAGATATGAGTACTTAATAATTT